GATGTGTCTGTTACTTGATCTCTGTGAAGCATTTATTTGGGCTGCAATTTCTTAGGCTGGTAACTCTAATGAACTTATCCTCTGCAGCAGAGGTAACTCTGGGTCTTCCTTTCCTGTGGTGGTCATCATGAGAGCCAGTTTCATCATAGCGCTTGATGGTTTTTGCAACTGTACTTGAAAAAACGTTCAACGTTCTTGAAATGTTCTGGATTGACTGACCTTCATGTCTTAAAGTAATGATGGACTGTCATTTCTCTTTGCTTATTTGAGCTGTTCTTGCCGTAACATGGACTTGGTCTTCTCCAGAGTGGCGCAGTGATCTAAGGCACTGCATTGCAGTGCTAGCTGTGCCACTAGAGATCCTGGTTCGAATCCAGGCTCTGTCGTAGCCGGCCGTGACCGGGAGACCCATGGGGCGGCGCACAATTGGCCCAGGGTAGGAGAGGGAATGGCCGGCAGGGATGTAACTCAGTTGGTAGAGCATGGCGTTTGCAATGCCAGGGTTGTGGGTTCGATTCCCACGGGGGGACAGTATAAAATAATGTATGCACTCACTAACTGTAAGTCGCTCTGGATAAGAGCGTCTGCTAAAATGTAAATGTCTTTTACCAAATAGGGCTATCTTCTGTATAACAGCCCTACATTTTCACAACTCAACTGATTGGCTCAAACGCATTAAGAAGGAAAGAAATTCCACAAATTAACTTTTAACAGGGCACACCTGTTAATTGAAATGCATTCCAGGTAACTCCCTCATGAAGCTGGTTGACAGAATGCCAAGAGTGTGCAAAGCTGTCATCAAGGCAAAGGGTGGATACTTTGAAGAATCTCAAATATAAAATATATTTTGATTTGTTTAACACTTTTATGGTTACTACATGATTCCATATGTGTTGTTTCATAGTTTTGATGTCTTCACTATTATTCTACAATGTAGAAAATAGTAAAAATAAAGAAAACCAGTTGAATGAGTAGGTGTGTCCAAACTTTTGACTGGTACTGTATATCAATTAAATAAAGTAGCCTACACACCAAAACGTTTTAAAAGTTCAAATCAAAAGGCTATTGCACAGAAAAACGTGGACAATCGAGTGCATCACAAATTCAGAACCGCTGGACAGCAACATAATAAACTAAAGCACTGATTATTGGGAACGAGATCAGGATAACTGCTAATGCTTGATCTATAAATAGAATAATTAAATAGGTAGCTTAGCCTACAGAATTAAAACAATCCATGTGTTCAAATCAAAAGGCCTGATCACATCAATAACGCAGCCACATTCCGAGTCCTCGGTGCTGACACATTCAGAAATCAAAAGATGGTTTAGTATTTAGTTTAAAAGCTCTGGCGAAGGCCAAGAGAACAATAAACACTTCAATGAGAAAACTGAAATCCACTTTTTTTTTGTTAGCAATACTTCTGTTTTCAAAGATGTAGCCCAGGGTTCTTCAATTCCGGTCCTGGAGGGCCGAAACACTTCTGTTTTTTATTTCTACCTGGTAGTTAATTGCACTCACCTGGTGTCCCAGGTCTGAATTAGCCGCTGATTAGAAGGAGAGGATGAAAAACAGAGGTGTTTCGGCCCTCCAGGACCGGAATTGAAGAACCCTGATGTAGCCTATGATGCAATACTCAATAAAAACGACTTAGCCTACATTTATTTACAACACCACCGCAGAAGCTTCGCTATTAGGCATCTTCCCAATTAAGTAGCCTAGTTTTGTTTATTGGCTACTTGAAGAGAACTAAGAATAATAAAGCCCCCTTTACTGGCTCAAATAGCCAACCAATTAGCCTGTTACCAACCCTTAGTAAACTAGTGGAGGAAATTGTGTTTGACCAGATACAATGCTATGTTACAGTAAACAAATTGACAACAAACTTTCGGCATGCTTATAGAGGAGGACATTCAACAAGCACAGCACTTACACAAATGACTGATGATTGGCTGAGAGAAATTGATAATAAAAATATTATGGGGGCTGTTTTTTTAGACTTCAGTGTGGCTTTTGACATTATCAATCATAGTCTGCTGCTGGAAAAACGAATGTGTTATGGCTTTACTCCACCTGCTATATTGTGGATAAAGAGTTACCTGTCTAACAGAACACAGAGGGTGTTCTTTAATGGAAGCCTCTCCAGTATAATCAGGATCAGGAATTCTCCAGGGCAGCTGTCTAGGCCCATTACTTTTTTCAATCTTTACTAATTACATGCCACTGGCTTTGAGTAAAGCCAGAGTGTCTATGTATGCGGATGACTCAACATTATATATGTCAGCTACTACAGGGACTGAAATGACTGCAACAAAGAGTTGCAGTTAGTTTCAGAGTGGTTGGCAAGGAATAAGTTAGTCCTAAATATTTCTAAAACTAAAAGCATTGTATTTGGAACAAATCATTCACTAAACTCCAAACCTCAACTAAATCTTGTAATAAATAATATGGAGATTGAGCAAGTTGAGGCGACTAAACTGCTTGGAGTAACCCTGGATTGTAAACTGTAATGGTCAAAACATATTGATATAACAGTAGCTAAGATGGGGAGAAGTCTGTCCATAATAAAGCGCTACTCTACCTTCTTAACAGCACTATCAACAAGGCATGTCCTACACGCTCTAGTTTTATCGCACCTGGACTACTGTTCAGTCGTGTGGTCAGGTGCCACAAAGAGAAAAATTGCAATTGGCTCAAAACAGGGCAACACGGCTGGCCCTTGGATGTACACAGAGAGTAAACATTAATAATATGCATGTCAATCTCTCCTGGCTCAAAATGGAGGAGAGATTGACTTCATCACTGCTTGTGTTTGTGAGAGGTGTTGACATGTTGAATGCATCGAGCTGTCTGTTTGAACGACTGGGACACAGCTCAGACACCCATGCATACCCCACAAGACATGCCACCAGAGGTCTCTTCACAGTCCCGAAGTCCAGAACAGACTATGGGAGGCGCACAGTACTACATAGAGCCATGACTACATGGAACTCTATTCCACATCAGGTAACTGATGCAAGCAGTAGAATCAGATTTAGAAAACAGATAAAAATACACCTTATGGAACAGCAGGGACTGTGAAGCTACACAAACATAGGCACAGACACATGCATACACACACGATAACATACGCTCTATACACACACGTACACATGGATTTTTTGTTGTAGAAATGTGGTAGTGGAGTAGGGGCCTGAGGGCACATGCTTAGTGTGCTGTGAAATCTGTTATGAATGTATTTAAATGTTTTTTTAAATGTATAACTGCCTTAATTTTGCTGGACCCCAGGAAGAGTAGCTGCTATCTTGGCAGCAGCTAATGGGGAGCCATAATAAATACAAATACAAATACTAGGGGCTATCACTTGCAGCCCACCTCGAATTCTACTAGAAGAAGAGCCGAAATGAGTATAACATCCTGGCATTTAAACCATACTCGATTTTAGAAAATTAACATACTTTAAAATGTTTTATTTTTGCATACTGAGAATGCGTCATGCGTTGTGACGTAGGCAGTAAACTCTTCTCCCATCCTGCCTCCCCTTTGTACGCCCGGTCCGGTCTGGACCCCGGCGCGATGCTCCCCCTCTCAGTCCTCCCGCGATGCACCAAGTCCTATCTGGACCCTGGTGTAGGAGCCCTCGACCCTGGAGCGGGGCTGACGTCTGGTCCCGGCCCAGCAGTCCTCCCGCGATGCACCAAGTCCTGTCTGGACCCTGGTGTGGGAGACCCCGACCCTGGAGAGGGGTTGACGTCTGGCTCTGGCTCGGACCCCAGTGGAGCGGATGGCTCCAGCATGGGGGAAGAGTAGACGACCGGACCCGGACTAGGAACCGGTGAAGCGGACTGCCCCGGCTCTGGTAGGGAGCAGATAACCGGAGCTGGACTAGGCACCGGTGGAGCGGACTGCTCTGACACTGGAGTGAAGCAGCTGACCGGAGCTGGACTTGGCACCGGTGGAGCGGACTGCTCTGGCACTGGAGTGGAGCAGATAACCGGAGCTGGACTTGGCACCGGTGGAGCGGACTGCTCTGGCACTGGAGTAAAGCAGCTGACCGGCGCTGGACTAGGCACCGGTGGAGCGGACTGCTCTGGCACTGGACTAACGCAGCTGACCGGAGCTGGAGACTCTGGACTGCAGACCATCGCTGGGCCATGGACCATCACTGGAGTCATCGGGCCATGGATCATCACAGGAGGCTTCGTGCCATGGATCATCACTGGAGGCTTCGTGCCATGGATCATCACTGGAGGCTTCGTGCCATGGATCATCACTGGAGGCTTCGTGCCATGGATCGTCACTGGAGCCCGACAACAACCGACAGCTGCCTCTGATTGGGAACCACACCCGGCCAACATAGAAATATATAAATTAGATTTCACACCCTGACCAACCCAACTAGAGATCTCAATGTCAGGGCGTGACACCAGGAAGGAGCAAGAGACATTCAACTTGGACCCTGTTGTTGTAACCGTTGTCATGGTAACCCGACAGCTGCAGTTTTTTATTCTTCCATTTAAATTCAGACATTCCACTGCTTTCATTTCTTCACATTCACAACAGTAAGTAAGCAGCTTGCCATAGCCTACTTGAAAATAATTACCTTGTATTTTCCTGTTGGCTACTCAAAACGTTGTCTGATAGCCTATGTTCTGGTAATTATATGAGCTGGTTAGGCAAATAAATCCATTATTAATTTGTTTATACACTATGCAGGTCTTAAGAAACATTATAAGACTAATACAATTTATTTTCAAAAGAACAGAATACCATATTTTGAGTTTAATTATGTTACTGGTCTGCTGCCCCATGCAAATGAAATCGATTGTTATTTTTTTCCTTCTTTAAACAGACAAGAGACACACTTAACATACATTCCCTTGATCACAGTCAATACACATATGGACTATATTTTATAGTAAGAATTAATATAACGGAATATAACAGGCTAAAATATTAATAATATTTTCCCCACACATTCTAACTTGAATGTCAAGAACATGTGGAACCGCTGTCATGTGACATGTCCACATTTTTTGGCCCATGTCCTCATTTGTTTTTGCTGTAGAAGCATTAGAATCTGCTCTGTCCGATCATGTAAAGAAATAAATAATCGGACCTGGATGAACCTCTGTAGGATGATTTCAGAAAGATGCTTTTTTGATCCACGTTGGATGTGATAACATCGCACACTGTCTCGTCTTTGAAACTCCCCAACAGTTATTTTGGCTGAAGACAGCCTACTAGCGATTTGTAGTTTAAGTTAGAAACATATGCATATTAACCTCTTAAGGATCGGACTATTTTTTTCAATTTTCGCCTAAAATGACATACCCAAATCTAACTGCCTGTAGCTCCGGACCTGAAGCAAGGATATGCATATTCTTGATACCATTTGAAAGGAAACACTTTGAAGTTTGTGGAAATGTGAAATTAATGTAGGAGAATATAACATTAGATCTGGTAAAAGATAATACAAACAAAAAACATGCGTTTTTAATGTTTTTTTTGTTCCATCTTCTTTGACATGCAAGAGAAAGGCCACTAGATGGCAGCAGTGTGTGTGCAAAGTTTCAAATTGATACAGTGAAGCGTTGCAATACTGGACTATTTTGTATCAAGTCTGCCCAAATGTGCCGAATTGGTACATAACATTTTCAAGTACATAGCTATAGAGAACATACAAAAATGATATGGTAATACAAAATGTAAGTTTACACACTCCCAGGAATGTCATACATGATGGATCATTAGCTTATACACTAACTTTCACACATCTAGATGGCCGGGCGGGGTGGGTGTGGAGCCAGAGAAAGCAGGGGTTCAAACTGTAGAACCCAGTTCCTACATTTGAATATAAAAATTGATTTTATCAAACAAAACTATGCTACATTTTATCTCTGGGACCCTTAGGATGACAAATCAGAGCAAGATTACTGAATGTAAGTACATTATTTACCTTCAGAGGTGAATGTATCAAACCAATTGCCGTGATACATTTGTTGTTGTTGTGCACTCTCCTCAAACAATAGCATGGTTTTTTTTCACTGTAACAGCTACTGTGATTGGACAGTGCAGTTCGATTAACAGGAATTTAAGCTTTCTGCCCATATAAGACATGTCCTGGAAAGTTTGCTGTTATTTACAACAGTCATGCTAATCACATTAGCACACGTTAGCTAATGCACCAATCCCGTAGAGGTTAACCCATCATTTATTAGCTAAATATAAGGGCCTTTAGATATTTACCAGTCTAAGTCAAGAAAAAAAAAGAAATGGCAGTGTGCATTCCCCCAGGCTAAATGCCAAAGCATTTCTGTGACAATAGACACGAACAGCTCAAGGACAGACATACATTTAAATGGAGAGAAAAAATGCATTTAAATCATTTCTGTGAAGCTTTGTGGTTGACAAGGACAAGTTTGATGTCGGACAACAATAGAATGTTCATGATTTAATGCGTGCCAAAGACGGTAAGATGAAAGGCGACGTTTATACTGAGCGGTTGGCGGGACTTTTAAATACATTACCGCAATCATGACTAGGTTAGTTGGCTGAAATAAAAGTACAGGCTTTGTTGCTGGCAATACCTTTCAGATATAAAGAAAAGGCATCAAAACATTGGTGCCATGGTAAAGTTGGCGGGAAAATGTATTGGGGTGAAAGGTATAAGAGAGAGTGAATGAGAGGAATTCTCATGGGGAGTTCTACTGTATCTCCAAAAGAGAGAACTGCACTATATCTCCTGGCCAGAGAAAGAAGAGCTGACTGTTGATAGGGAGGGACATGAGTGTCATCATCACTAATTTGTTCACTCTGCAGTTCTTACAATCTATTTAATTGGGTAATTACAAGGTTCACCATAATGCCAAGCCTCAAATGAACCACTTATATCAATTAGCATCAATCACATCCAAATCACCACAAAGCTAAATCTTTGTCATCCTCACATGTACAATGCAAATCTGCATTTCTATACTATGAGATTTAGCTCATGTAGAATTAACTTTAGATGTAGTTAGCCGTACTCATGTTCTGACATTTTTTAAAAATTCTTCAAACGATGACGTAAACTCTTTCCCTGAGGTTTTATAGGGGAGATAAATGAAAAAGCTTGCAGATCTGTGCAGCCCAGCGTTTGTTGTTATAAGATCCCTGCTAAGTTCACTTCCCTGACCCCTGAGGCTCCCCTCTCCTCTTCTCTCCCGCTGCTCCCCCTCCTCTCTGTGGTGTGGAATCCGTGAGAAGACCCCACTTTACCAGCACTCCAGCAGCAGGGCTCCACACTCAAAGACGACTCTCTCATTAGCATGCCTCAGGACTCTCCCCAGACTCAGACTGCTTCTGACAAACAAACACAGCCTCTCTCCAAGTCTCCTCTCTCTGTCTCTCACTGTCTGTGTCTGAATGTCTCTATCTGTCCCTACTCTGTCTCTGTCTGTCTCTGGTCATCTCTCTTGTTGTCTCCTTGTCTCTCTATCTCTGTGTCTATCAATCTATCTGTCTCTCTGTTTCTATCTCTAGGAGACTCTTTTTTTATTTCCCTCTCTCTTTCTCACTCTCATTATTTCAGGCATCCTTTGTCAGACTTTTCTTCACTTCTCTCTGTCTCCTTCTATTTCCTAATGCCTCTACCATACTCATGTTTTTTTTTCTTTCTCTTTCGTCCATTCTCTCCCCGTCTTTCCTCTTTCACCCGTACAAACAGCGGAGATGCTCCTTTTTCTTGTTCGGAGGGGAGGGATCATCCACCTTTTCTTGTGTCCTTTTATGTGCGAGTTAAAAGTTACCAGATGGAGGGGAGACAGCGGTCAGAGGTTGTTAATGTATGCCACGGGAGCAGGGGGCATTTGGTGCAAATCAGAGGCCTGCCCCCCTCCCCCAAACTCCTCCCGTCCCCCTCCCCCACTTTAACTGTGGTCGGATGGGAAAGAGAGGCTGGCAATTGTGAGCTGACATACATTCTCCCCCATTCTCCCCCAGCAGCACACAACACAGAGTGGGGCTTTCATCAAGTGGAGCCCCCCAGCAGCCAAAGGAGGGGGTCCCTACTCTTCCACACACATCCCCTCCTGTGATGTAACCAGTCCATTCTAACCAAGCAGGCAGGCAGGGCAGGCAGCCCCCTAATTGTCATTCATGGTGCGCCTCCCTGAGCCCGAGACGCCTCAGAGGAGGGAGTGTCTATGGGGGGTGAGCAGTGGGGTCGATGTGTGTGTGTGTGAGGTTGTGTGTGAGTGGGGTGTATGGTTGATGCATAGCAAGTGGATCCATAGCTACCCAGGCTGAATGCCCAAACAGTCAGTCAGTGTAAATAAAGCAGACTTCCTGGGAAAGTGGGATCTCAAGTGACGTATGGTGGAGCATTAGGTTAGCTGGCAGCGTTGCTTGTGGACCTCTAAGCTACAACCAAATCTCATCCGACAAGACCTCTGCATCTTGGAAAGGAACTGTGATATACTAGGAGCTGTGCTTCAGTCAATCAGGGCAGCACAAGAGAGAGAGTGCAGGACAGCAGGAGCGAGAGGGAACGTGCAAGTGAGAGAGAGTGAGGGAGAAAAAAAGAGAGAGCGAGAGTGAGTGGAGGAGAGAGAGCGAGGGAGAGATAGGAGGAGAGAATTCTGCTGAATGGAAGCATTTTTGGTGGATGGGATAAAACCAACCATGGAAACTACATCAGAAGATAACCAAGAGCAGAGCCAGGAGAAAAAAGGTACCAGAATGAACAGTAACAAAGGAGATGTTTAGCTCTTCTCACCACCTTGTTTACTGGGGCTTTAGCCTACTTGAGGCTGCTTGGGTTCACACCACACAATAGCAGGGTGGACTCTGTTCAGCGGGGGCTCCATTCACACACTCAGTGTCTCATCGCTCCGCTTTAAGCAATTGCAATCTCACTCTGTTTTTCCTCATTCAATACAGTCGATGATGTGATGGTTGTATGTGGTGTTGTATTTCTGTGTGTATTTCTGTTGGACATTGCACAGTAGATTACCCATGCAATATGTGGAATATGAAGAATATATGAGAGGCTGTTGCAAGTGTATTGGGAAGGCATTGATTGCTTGTGCATGAGACCTTATTTGTTTTCTATGTCGGTGTCTCTGTCTCTCAGCGTGTGGAGGATGATTTATTTTATGTTGCTGTTGTCACTGTCATTATTGGTCCCCTTATGAAGGACATATTTCATGTCTCATCATTAGTGAATGTTTATTACTCTACTGTGAGTATTGGCTGTTATCGGTGGGTCGCTGGTAATGAGGTTGATGAGAGTGTGTGTGTGTGTGTGTGTGTGTGTGTGTGTGTGTGTGTGAGGGGGGAGGGGGGGGGGGGGGGGGGGGGGTGTCAAGACAAAGAGACAAGCACATCATCAGTCCCATACACAGCGCTACAGATTAATCACTCCTCTGGGGCAGAGGCTGGCTGATCTGTCAACACCACACACATGCACACACAAACACGCATGCACACAACGGTAGACATTCTCACACAAACACACAACCACATCGTCAGGAATCAGTTGCAGGACAGGGATATATTGATTTGTTCTCCTCCTGTTTCTTCTGGTTCTCCCCCAAGAGAAAAGGCTACCTTTCATATCAAAGCACACAAATGATCAAATCAAATCAAATCACATTTTATTGGTCACATGCGCCGAATACAACAGGTGCAGACATCACAGTGAAATGCTTACTTACAGCCCTTAACCAACAGTGCATTTATTTTTTACAAAAAATGTAAAAATAAAACAACAACAAAAAATGTTGAGAGAAAAAAGAGCTATATATACAGGGGGGTACCGTTGCAGAGTCAATGTGCGGGGGCACCGGCTAGTTGAGGTAGTTGAGGTAATATGTACATGTGGGTAGAGTTAAAGTGACTATGCATAAATAATTAACAGAGTAGCAGCAGCGTAAATGATGTGTGTTTTTATGTCATTGATGTTAGATGTATCGAACAGTAATCAAATACATCAAAGGCAGATGGGATGTTGATTTATTGGTCATTATATTAACCTTTATTTATTGGAATTATTATGTTTTGGTAGTACCAGCTCACATTTCTCTCTGTTCAGGTGGACAGTTCCAGCAGGATTGTTGCTTTGGAGCGTTGGCTGTTTTCCAGAGCTAAAGCTTTTGACAAGACCAGAGAGGATTTACCAATGCACTCTGTTTGTCACTACCTTTGTTTACAGTGCATTTGGAAAGTATTCCGACCGCTTGACTTTTTCCACATTTTGTTACGTTACAGCCTTATTCTAAAATGGATTAAATGTTTTTTCCCCCCTCATCAATCTACACACAATACCCCATAATGACAAAGAAAAAACAGGTTTTTAGAGATGTTTGCAAATGTATTAAAAATTAAAAACTGAAATATCACATTTACATAAGTATTCAGACCCTTTACTCAGTACTTTGTTCAAGCACCTTTGGCAGCGATTACAGCCTCGAGTCTTCTTGGGTATGACGCTACAAGCTTGGCACACCTGTATTGGGGAAGTTTCTCCCATTCCTCTCTGCAGATCCTCTCAAGCTTTGTCAGGTTAGATGGGGAGCATCGCTGCACAGCTATTCCTTCTGGAAGGTTCTCCCATCTCCATAGAGGAACTCTGGAGCTCTGTCAGAGTGACCATCGGGTTCTTGGTCACCTCCCTGACCAAGGCCCTTCTTCCCTGATTGCTCAGTTTGGCCAGGCGGCCAGCTCTAGGAAGAGTCTTGGTGGTTCCAAACTTCTTCCATTTAAGAATGATGGAGGCCACTGTGTTCTTGGCGACCTTCAATGCTGCAGACATTTTTTGTTACTCTGTGCCTCGACACAATCCTGTCTCGGAGCTCTACGGAAAATTCCTTCGACCTCATGGCTTGGTTATTGCTCTGACATGCACTGTCAACTGTGGAACCTTATATAGACAGGTGTGTGCCTTTCTAAATAATGTCCAATCAATTGAATTTACCACAGGTGGACTCCAATCAGGTTGTAGAAACATCTGAAGGATGATCAATGGGAACAGGATGCACCTGAGCATAATTTCGAGTCTCATAGCAAAGGGTCTGAATACTTGTGTAAAAAGGTATTTCTGTTTTGTATTTTTAATAAATTAGCAAACATTTCTAAAAACCTGTTTTCACTTTGTCATTATGGGTATTGTGTGTAGATTGTTGAGGATTTATATTTATTTAATACATTTTAGAATAAGGCTGGAAAAAGGGAAGGAGTCTGAATACTTTCCGAATGCACTGTATACCTGAAGATGTCATATCACACACACACACTCACACACACACTCACACACACACACACACACACACACACACACACACACACACACACACACACACACACACACACACACACACACACACACACACACACACACACACACACAAACAAACACACACATCTCAATGTCATTATGAATTACAGTAAACAGTAGTCTGAATAGGCAACCCCAGTCATTGGCAAGCATTAGCCAGCATAACATTTCTTTGCTCTGCAACACAAGTAATCAATACGATCCTTTGATGTGTGAGCGAGGTTAGACCACTTCATCCCTAGAGAATGATCATTGCTGTCTTTCTAACTGCTGATCCACCTCGTGTCTAGGAGTGTGGAAAATCCTAATACCTCATAAATAGTGTTTTGGCCGCGCCTCAGTGAGTGGAACAACAAGCAACAACACTTAGCCCTAGCAGCAACCAGGGCACATCTGTTAATAATGAAGCTAGATGGCAGATTAGGCCTGAGAGCTGTTATTAGCTGCTCAGTGCTGCTCAGTGCTGCCAGGCTGACTGGGTTTAGTAACAAGGGTGAGGAGGAGTGCTGGGGTGTGTGTGTTGCTTGATGTAGAACAGAAGATAATTTAAGAGAAAAATTGGAGGACGTTACTGTTTTTATTTTGTCGTTTGTGTTCTCTGTTGGCAGCTTCTACCTGGATACTGCAGTAGGAAATACAACCCAACACATGTCAAATGGCATAACTGTCCTGACTGTAAATCACATCTCTATAGTATTAATAGGGAGCCAGGAAGCCACAAAGTATTTAATATATACTGAACAAAAATATAAACGCAACATGCAACAATTTCAAATATTTTACTGAGTTACAGTTCATGTAAGGAAATCAGTCAATTGAAATAAATTCATTGGGCCCTAATCTATGGATTTCACATGACTGGGAATACAGATATGCATCTGTTGGTCACAGATACCTTAAAAAAGAGGTAGGGGTGTGGATCAGAAAACCAGTCAGTATCTGGTATGACCACGATTTGCCTCATGCAGCGTGACACATCTCCTTCACATAACGTTGATCAGGCTGTTCATTGTGGCCTGTGGAATGTTGTCCCACTCCTCATCAATGGCTGTGCGAAGTTGCTGGATATTGGTGGGAACTGGAACACGATGTCGTACGTCGATCCAGAGCATCCGAAACATGCTCAATTGGTGACATGTCTGGTGAGTATGCAGGCAATGGAAGAACTGGGACATTTTCAGCTTCCAGGAATTGTGTACAGATCCTTGCGACATAGGGCCGTGCAATATCATGCTGAAACATGAGGTGATGGCGGCGGATTAATGGCACGACAATGGGCCTGAGGATCTCGTCACGGTATCTCTGTGCATTCAAATTGCCATTGATCAAATGCAATTGTGTTCGTTGTCCATAGCTTATGCCTGCCCATACCATAACCCCACCGCCACCATGGGGCACTCTGTTCACAACGTTGACATCGCCCACACGACGCCATACACGTGGTCTGCAGTTGTGAGGCGAGTTGGACGTACTGCCAAATTCTCTAAAACGACATTGGAGGCGGCTTATGGTAGAGAAATGAACATTCAATTCTCTGGCAACAGTTCTTTTGGACATTCCTACAGTCAGCATGCTAATTGCACACTCCCTTAAAACTGCACATTTTAGGGTGGTCTTTTATTGTCCCCAACACAAGGTGCACCTTTGTAATGATCATGCTGTTTAATCAGCTCCTTGATATGCCACACCTGTCAGGTGGATGGATTATCTTGGCAACGGATACATTTGTTCACAACATCTGAGAGAAATAAGCTTTTTGTGCGTATAGAACATTTCTGGGATCTTTTAGTTAAGCTCATGAAATATGGGACCAACACTTTACATGTTGCATTTATATTTTTGTTGAGTGTACAATGGAAATGTTTTTCCTCATGCAATAGCTACCTGTCTGCAGTTATCCTCCCCATACAATAATGAGAACAGCTGTCATGATCTGCATTGCTCAGCCTAAAGATTCAAGATTTTACTGGTGGGCTTTATTCGGTTCCCACAGAGGGTCCCAGGCAGCTGTTGGGGATTGAGGGGGTCTGTGTGGGGGCTGTGTGGTGGTGTTGACAGGCTTTGGTGGGTCACGTGACAGCTGGTGTTGAGGGATGGACGGGCATAAGGAAGCAGCCCTAGCTGTGGAGGTGGAGTCGATGGAGGGGTCTGGAGCTAGAAACATGTGGATGAGCTACAGCAGCAGGGTTTTAGGTCAACCCCCCTCTTCCATATCACTTTCTCTCTCTCTTTCGCTCTCTCTCGCTCTCTCTTTTACACACAAACGTCTCTCTCCTTCTATTTCTCTCTCTATCTCTGTATCTCTCTATCTCTAACCCTAGTCTCTCTTTCTCCTCCTCTCTCTCTCTCTCTCTCTCTCTCTCTCTCTCTCTCTCTCTCTGGACAGTCTGCTCTCCCCATATCTCTCCTAATGAGCCATCTGATTGACACAGGGGATGATTCCTGTTTGTCTTGTCAGATGCCCAGATCAACAGGATGCTTCTGGAGTGTGAAGTGGGCTGCCACCCATCTCCTCCGCCGCACTTTGTGCCAGCGCAATGCATGCTGGGTGGACAGGATGGAGCTCTGTGGTTGGCCTGCCCTGTGCTCCAGTCCAAACTAAGAGGCTGGAAGAGCAGGGCCCTGGACCAGTGCTGCTCTGAATGGGACTTTGAGACTGCAGCTTGACGGGCTACACACACTGGCTCTTTGTGTCAGGGCTCTTTTGACTGCCATCCATACGGCAGTTTCTCTCTCTGTCTCACTCTCTCTTTGTGTTTCTGACTCAGGCTCTATAGCATGACCATAGTAATGAGAGGCTCAACAGTTTGGCATGGTGTGACTGCAGATGGTCACAGTTGTTCTGTTCACTTCTCACATCCCTCCTTGTCTCTCTGTTTGTCTGTCTCTCAGAATACCTCTTTCTGTCTCTGTCTCTCGCTCTCTTGCCTGCTTAATCTCAGCCTCTGTCCCTCTTTCTGTCTCTCTCCCTCTCCCTTGCTCTTTCTGTCTGTCACTCCCTGTCACTTCCCTATCTCTCTCTCTCCCTCTCTCTCTCGGTCTGTTCTCAGTCCCTCCCACTCTTGCTCAGTCTTTCTGTCTCTGTCTCTCCCTCCCTCACCCTCTCTGTGTCTTTTCAATCATGAGGGAGGGGATGAGTGGAGGGAGAGTTATGGGAGTGGTTTAACCAGGATATCAGGCAGACCCTAGGAGCATGTGAAAGTCATCAAAGAGAAGAGGGCCAATGTGATTTTCATTTGGAGCAGCACTCTATTCGGGGAATGCCAGGAGGCTCCATCTTGTGTGTGATTACGTGTGTGTGTCATCCAGAGAGAGAGTAAACAAATCCCCTTCTCTCTCCCTGAGGAGGACTTTACTACAGAACTCAAGGCCTGTAATATCCTGTAATATCTGGTGTACTATAAAGGCCTAGATTTATAGAGAAGAGGTTTATAGAGAATCCTCTGATCTGAGTTGTGTGGCAGGTTTAGCCAGCATGAAGGGTTTGTGTGTTGTTTCTGATCTAGTCCCTACGCTGCGCCTTGGTCCTCATCTCTTACCGACGATCGTGACAGAAGATCCCACCAAGACTGGACCAAGCAGCGTGTCCAGGAGCCATCGCCAGGGAGATCTCTAGCAGATCTCCTTCGCCTCCTCGACTGGGTCAAGCCGGGTGAGGAAGAGAAGGGCCGGACTTGGAAGCAGAAGGGCGAAAGTCTGGCGAGGGACATGGAGACCTGGTCCACGGGTAGGAGAGACGGCCAGACATTTTTTAGGGGGGGGCTAACGCCGTGGACGACGGGCCAGCAGGAGACCGCGACAGAGCGGCCCAGCGGGTTGGCAGAGGAGGCCGCCAGGTTACGGGGGCCACTGGTCGAAGAGGGGATGGAAGGTGTAGAGGCACGGCGAGAGGTACTGGGGTGTGTTACCAGTCCGGTCCGGCCCATTCCAGATCCCTGCGTAGGGCCAGTGGTGTGTGTCCCCAGTACGGTCTGGCCTGTTCCTGCTCCCCGCACCAGGCCAATGGTGCGAGTCACCAGCCCGGTCCGGCCCGCTCCTGCTCCCCGCACCAAGCCTATGGTGCGCGTCGCCAGCCCAGTCCGGCCTGTTCCTGCCACTCGCACCAAGCCAGGGGTGCGAGTCGTCAGCCCGGTCCAGCCTGTTCCTGCTCCACGCACCAAGCCAGGGGTGCGTATCGTCAGCCCGGTCCGGCCTGTTCCTGCTCCCCGCACCAAGGCTATGGTGCGCGTCGCCAGCCCGGTCCGGCCTGTTCCTGCCACTCGCACCAAGACAGGGGTGCGAGTCGTCAGCCCGGTCCATCCCGTTCCTGCTCCACGCACCAAGCCAGGGGTGCGTATCGTCAGCCCGGTCCGGCCCGTTGCTGCTCCACGCACTAAGCCAGGGGTGCGCATCGTCAGCCCGGTCCGGTCCGTTCCTGCTCCACACACCAAGCCAGGGGTGCGCATCGTCAGCCCGGTCCGGCCCGCTCCTGCTTCCCGCACCAAGCCAATGGTGCGCGTCGCCAGCCCGGTTCGGCCCGCTCCTGCTCCTCACACCAAGCCAGTGGTGTGCGTCGTCAGTCCAGCGCGGCCCGTGCCTGTTCTCCACACCAAGCCAGTGGTGGGCGTCGTCAGTCCGGCACGGCCCGTGCCTGTTCCACTGGTGCCTGGTCCGGCACCGGTCAGATGCGTTACGCCGGAGCTAGAGCAATCCGCTCCATCAGTGTGCAGTCCAGCTCCGGCCAGCGGGGCCAGACCGGACCAGGGGTACTTTGGGGGGTTGGAGAGGGAGTGGGGATCAGGCCCGGAGCCGGATCCGCCGCCAAGGCAGAGTGCCCACCCGGTCCCTCCCCTGTGGTATTTAGTTGGCGCGGTCGGAGCCCTGGCTCTGGGGACACTGTTATGTTGAGCCAGGGTGTGTAGATCTATGTATTCCATTTCTATGTTGGCCAGTGTGGTTCTCAATCAGAGGCAACGAGTGTCAGCTGTGGCTGGTTGTCTCTGATTGGGAACCACATTTAAACAGGCTGTTTGCCCACTACCTGTTGATGGCCAATCGGTTCTTACACTGTACATCACTCCTCTCACAACCGTATGCCCATTTACTCTCACTCCTGTACTGAAGCTCTCTGGTAAAAAAGTAGTTTCAATATCATCTTTGATAAAGTTGTAATGTTCAAGTGGTGAATGGGAGAGACGCTTCAGCGATACAGATTGAATAGAGCCCTAGACTGCAATAGCAAAAACGGGGACTGAGAATCGTCTAGTGGCCCTGGAGACTTCAGTTATTGTTCCTATACTACAGTGTTTCTCACAGTCTGATATTTGGACAAGAAGAGCAATAGGGTTAACACTGCTGTCCTCCTATAGTGTACTATTTATACTGACAGGGAAAGACTACCACACTATGTATGTGTGTGAGAGAAACTGTGCTTACTGCCCATCACTGTGCTAAAAGACTTACCCATAGGGGACCTCCTATCTCACATCCATAATCAGTACCGGATATTATTACTCCTCTGTACTGAATTAATCTCTGCAGAGTTGAGAAGACATAAGAAGAGATTAGTACCACATAATGCAAACATGATGCATGATGGTCAATCCAGACAGCCCTCTTTATGGTCCTTTGTGAAGTACCCATTGAGGATCTGTGTAGGCGATACATTTTTTCAATTTCCTCCGACTCATGTACCAAAGAACAAGTCCTTTATAGTGGTTCTATGTAAATAGAGTGGTATTATTGTGGTGGTTAAACGCTAAACCATGTTAGTGGGCCTGTCTTGGTGCCAGTGTTGTTTCAGGGTTAGGGTTAGACGTAACACACTATCCAGTCAGCAGCATGGCGAATGTTACTCCAGCTGAGAAAACACCACCTCCGATTTATATAGTTATTAAACGCAACACCTTAGGAGAGAGGCACAAGGCTTCTCCATGGAGAGAAAAGGAGCTTTGTGTGTGTTTGAGGAGTGGTGTTTAACAGCATTCCAAGTTATAATAGCATCACAGTCAGTGTTGAGGGGACAGAGAGTTCACATGACAGCGTACTGTAATACAGTAGAGTACAGTACATTAGCTTTCCAGTTTAACTAATGTGTTCTGGGAATGGAAAGCAGGCCAGGTGATTTTTGTTAAGGACCTCTTATCAAATGGATGGTAAATTGATCGGATTTATGGCCTCTTTCTCTCTCTCTCTGGACCTAGTTAGATGTTGACATTGCAGCTTGACCTTCTCTCTCACAGTACAGGACAGGCAACAGGGGATGTAGGCCACTGGGGTGAAGCTGATAGATAGAGTGCCTGCCTGCTACTGGGCAGCTTAGGGGTTAAAGGTGAATGGATGCAATAGATTCCCCTTGGTTCAGTCATGTGTTGAAAATTGTGATGGACTAGAGACAAATGTTGCCCTTCATGGTTGGATCTAATAATATCAGGGCATGAGATGTACAATATATGTAAAGTGGCATATGATATCATGAGTGAGTAGGTGATGTGCTCTGGTATTAGTAATTCATCCAAATGAGTGATATGATGTGGACAGAGGCTTGTCTTTACAGCAAAAAGACACTTAATAAAGCCATCATGTCCGCATTTCAACCATGACGTGCCACTATTGATTGAGCTCCAGTGAGTTCATAATGGGGCAGTGTGAACGTTGTTATTGCTTCTGTCACTCAAGTGTCTATTTGACACAAGAATGATTTTGTTATGCAGCTCAGTCTTTGTCACGCTCCCCATCAGCAGTGATATTCGTCACTTTAGGAGGGGGATTGGATTCACTGGTTGATTGTGTTAGTTGGTTGTTTGGTTGGTTTTCATGACACATGACTTCCATGACTTGGAGTGAAAGCCAATTTATTTCCCCCAGGATCAGACATATACCTGACAGTAATGGATGATCGAGGACCAACACAAGAACAGCCCGTCCTCTGAATGTGCAGTGTTTCACTGTGGCTGAGCTCTATATCCTGCTGGTCCTGCCTGCCATGTGTGTCTATGTGGGAAATGTGGTCCGAGTTAGCCGTTCCGTCACGCCTCACCTCGAGCACACTCACTGGGTTGTGGTTAACGTGCTGCCATGGCAACTGTTATTCACCAAACCTGGGACAAAAATGTTTTTATCCCTCTGTGTGACACGAAAGACTACGGGATGAACTTTCTGACAACACACAACTATTGAATGGCCCTGTTCTGGCTCTAATATATCTGTTTAATTTCCTTTGTCGCCAGATAAAGAGGACAAACACAAACAAACTTTCAGGATTCCCACCTCATGGAAGAGGCTTGGATTTCGATAGGCATATTTTGCCCTGTCTCTCTATCTCAGACTTTTGCATTGGAGTAGTCTCTAGAACATGCACCAATGGGCTTTTTATGTTCTGCTGAAATCATGGCTGTGCATTTATTGAGTGCCATGTCTACTGACAGTTAGTAAGCCTCCATTCAGGCCATATCCAATGGAGGAAACAGTTGTCTGTAACACCATTTTCCACACTTGAACAAATCAAGGTGAATCTATGAATCTATCCATACAGTTTTATGGAACACACATTAGTAAGGCCTTCACATATGCACATCACTCTCCAACCAGGACCAGGCCATGCTATAAATCTACAGCCTGCTGTTTGAAATACAACAGCCTTCTAGACAAACATGTGGATCTTATTGGCACATTGTGGTCTGTTTACATACTGTCTGTCCAGAGGCACTGCTCTGCTGGTGCGTCTGTACCAAATAGGCTACGGTGTCTTCGGAAAGTATTCAGACCCCTTGACTTTTCCCACATTTTCAGCCTTATTCTAAAATTGATTAAATAAATAAAAATCCTCAGCAAGCTACACACAATACCCCATAATGATGAAGCGAAAACAGGTTTTTTGACATTTTTGCAAATGTATTAAAAATAAAAAACTGAAATACCTTATTTACAAAAGTATTCAGACCCTTTGCTATTAGACTGGAAATTGAGCTCAGGTGCATGCTGTTTCCATTGATCACCCTTGAGATGTTTCTACAACTTGATTTGAGTCCACCTGTGGTAAATTCAATTGATTGGACATGATTTGGAAACGCACACATCTGTCAGCCATCTCTGCAGCACTCTTTATGGTAGAGTGGCCAGACGGAAGCCACTCCTCAGTAAAAGGCACATGACAACCTGCTTGGAGTTTGCCAAAAGGCACCTAAAGACTCTGAGACCATGAGAAACAAGATTCTCTGGTCTGATGAAACCAAGATTGAACTCTTCGGCCTGAATGCCAAGCGTCACGTCTGGAGGAAACTTGGCACCATCCCTACGGTGAAGCATGGTGGTGGCAGTATCATGCTGTGGGGATGTTTTTCAGCAGCAGGGACTGGGAGACTAATCAGGATCGAGGGAAAGATGAATGGAGCAAAGTACAGAGAGATCCTTGATGAAAACCTGCTCCCGAGCACTCAGGACCTCAGACTGGGACGAAGGTGTACCTTCCAACAGGACAACGAACCCAAGCACACAACCAAGACAATGCAGGAGTGGCTTCGGGACAAGTCTCTGAATGTCCTTGAGTGGCCCAGCCAGAGCCCGGACTTGAATCCGATCGAACATCTCTGGAGAGACCTGAGAATAGCTGTGCAGTGACACTCCCCATCCAACCTGACAGAGCTTGAGAGGATCTGCAGAGAAGAATGGGAGAAACTTCCCCAATACAGGTGTGCCAAGCTTGTAGCGTCATACCCAAGAAGACTCAATGCTGTAATCGCTGCCAAAGGTGCTTCAACAAAGTACTGAGTAAAGGGTCTGAATACTTATGTAAATTTGATATTTCAGTTTTGTATTTTTAATAAATTAGCAAAAACGTCTAGAAACCTGTTTTTTCTTTGTCATTATGGGGTATTCTGTGTAGATTGATGAGGAAAAAAAGCAATTTAATCAATTTTATAATAAGGATGTAACGTAAAAAAATACTTTCCGAAGGCACTGTATACCATAATACAGTAGGGGAGATGGATACTACAGTACAACTCATCTGGGTCATTTCATTCTGCCATTATGAATTGCCATTGATTTCCATTAGGGTTTGGCTGGCATCCACAGGACAGTAGTGACCTGTCTGCCTCCCATTAGTGCACTTCAATTCTAGCGATGAATAGTCAGGACAGGCTGCCCTCGCTGGCTGCACAGACAGACAGACAGACAGACAGACAGACACAGCTAGATGACCATACTGAGTGGCAACGGTGAAGCTCAGTCTCATTCTAGCATGATGATCAAGGTATGATCAACCATCACTCATCATAAATTGTCATCAAAATACCACTCCACTCTCCACTCTGTCTGATGAGGAGTGTGTGTTGGCAGTGTATGTTCATTATTTTGTAGTGTATTGGTAGATGAGGATTATGGGATGATGAGTCATTTAGAGGAGGTTGAGAAAGTCAGTACATGTTCTTATTGAGTTCTGATGAATAATGAATAAGTAAATGACCTCTATTGTACTGTCATTGGTTACGCAACAGCTAATTTGAATGTTTCAGTGAGTTGAACTTGAAATGTCTCCCTAAACTCACTACTGCAAAGATGGCTATGTATATGATTTAAATGCAGAGTGCACCAATACTTCAGCTCTTCTGTGTATGATAGAGTGAAACACAATCTCCTTATATGGACTTTGCAATGTTTCTGGGCAGAAGAAGTGTCACTGTTACACTGCAGCCTACAGTGAAAAGTTCACAGAACAATTTAAAGAGAATGTCAGAAAGAAAACAACTTCACTTTAACTAGTCTGTGATGAATGATGATTTCAATAAATTGACTGATCTCACACTCTTTTTCTCTCAATCTGTGTTTCCATGTAGGTTGCTTTGAGTGCTGCATCAAGTGTCTGGGCGGGGTGCCGTATGCGTCACTGGTGGCCACAATCTTGTGTTTCTCCGGCGTGGCCCTGTTCTGTGGCTGTGGCCATGTGGCCCTTACCGGCACCATCAGCATCCTGGAGAACCACTTCTCCAAGATCACCTCTGACCACGCTATGCTGACTGACGTGTGAGTGACCGCACCTCTTTATACTGACCCCATGAGTAGGGTTAGGAGTTGTAGACCATAACCTGACCATGAAAAACAGTGTTCCCTAGTTATAGACTATAACTAGGTAATGACCTATAAGTAGGGCCTGGCTAACATAAGTATCCTACTGTATGGTCAGAGTAGAGCATCAATAAGATACTATTGGATCCCAAGCAACACAAACATAGGCACAGACACATGCATATACACACATGATAACATACGCACTATACACACACGTACACATGGATTTTGTGTTGTAGATATGTGGTTGTGGAGAATGGGCACACACGTGTTGTGAATTTTGTAATGAATGTATTGTAATGTTTTAAAAATTGTATAACTGCCTTAATTTTGCCGGACCCCAGGAAGAGTAGCTGCTGCCTTGGCAGCAGCTAATGGGGATCCATAATAAATACAAATACCTCATCCCAAAACATATACATCCTGATTCAGGCAGTAGCACAGTGACTATATGTCTACAGCGATATCTTGAAACACATTTATTTCCACTTATATATCAACCCCTTTTATCTAAATGAGCTGAGCCTCCTAGTGTAAGCGTAGATAAGCCCTATCCATAAATTACAAGTACTTCTATATAGATATGTTCTTTCTTCAATGAGCTCATCACGACGACTATTTTTAGCTGTTAATAACCCCTGTCTGAACCTTATCCTGGAGACAAGGCCTAATATGGAGCTCTTCTTATTTTAATCCATTAGTCTAAGGAGAAAAACAGAGGAAAGAGAGGACAGGACAGAGCATATGTTTTGTGTTGAGGTTGAAAGGGGAGTCTCTGTGAGTGCACTGTTTAATTGAAGATGTCTAGCAGGCCGATCGGTCTTTTAGTAGGTTATTTCCCCAGGCATGTATCACCTGTTATCTGTCCAGGATGGGTGAAGGGTTTGGGACTGTTTCTAATTTTTTGGGGGAAACTGAGCCAGTCATCCTCACTCGAAGACATCTGTTTACAGTTCATCAGACAAAGTTGTTCATGATTTCAAGATTTTCACAGAATGAATGGTGTAGGTTGCATTTTTCCAACCCGAGCCTAATGTGAACTGATTAAGCTCTGTGCCTTTGATCACACACGGGACACTAAGATGGTTTGTGTGTGATTTGCTCCTATACAGAATACAGCTGATGCAGTACGTCATCTATGGCATCGCCTCCTTCTTCTTCCTCTATGGGATCATCCTGCTGGCCGAGGGCTTCTACACCACCAGCGCTGTCAAGGAGCTGCACAGCGAGTTCAAGACTACCATCTGCGGGCGCTGTATTAGTGGGATGGTACGTCACTATCAACACCACTGGACTGTGATTACCATGCACTGAACTTACACGAAACACAACCAACCAACTCACTGCAATCTCGACTGGCTATCAGACCATTTGTTCAACAAGATCGAAACAACATTTGTTTAAATATTTCCACCAAACCACATGATGCTTTAATCCTGGTTAGATGCGATCAATCAAACAAGTTGATGAAAACCATAATGAGCAAATATTGTTGCAAATGAACACACAAACAGTCCCTCCCTTATAGACCTACTCATCAAATAGGCTGCGAAAATGCTGTTTATGATTCCATTCTGCCTAATGCTAATAAGATGCTGTGTATTTCTGTCTGTCTGTGTGTGTGTGTGTGTGTGTGTGTGTGTGTGTGTGTGTGTGTCTGTGTGTCCCCTCAGTTTGTGTTCCTGACCTACATCCTGGGTATTGCCTGGCTGGGTGTGTTTGGTTTCTCCGCCGTGCCCGTCTTCCTCTTCTACAACATGTGGTCCACCTGTGCCGCCATGAGGTCACCAGTCGCCAACTTCACCAACGTGGACTCCATCTGCGTGGACGTCCGTCAGTACGGTAAGAGAATGCCTCAGTCACAATCAGGGTCATCTTCATTAGGTACCATGTGATAGAAAACAGACTGAAATTAGGGAGGGACTACTTAAACTTGTCCAATAAGAAACACGTGTTTTTGTTTTCTGTTACCAACTTCTTGTTACGGTGTGCTTTACTGAATATGACCCATATTTCACCATAGTGGCTGAGAGCCAAGACGGTAGTGTGATAAATAGTGAATAGGATAACAAACCACATGTGGCATCTTTTCTACAGCTCGATTTGCCTCCCTGTGTCCTCTCAGGTCGAGTTTTATAGCAGCAATAAGACATAATGTTCAGTGTGTCGCGTTTTACAGCTTTAATACACTCAACTCTCCAATTATGACATTTTAATGGTGATTTGAAGTTACAACCATTCTGTAAATTCTAATGTGATATGTGACTATGGGCCATTAACGATTTTACTCTGATTTGTTTACTGCATGACTATCTGAATTATATGAAGACGTTTTATGAAGACATGATGTGAAGAATTTGCTCAGTATAAATATTAACCTTTGACTTTAACGATTGACTGCAGGTATCATCCCCTGGAACGCTACACCAGGCAAGGCTTGTGGGTCCACACTAGGAGACATCTGTAATACTAGTGAGGTAAGGCTTCTCTCCTCTAATTCAGAGTCATTCATTCACAGGTGACATACTGTCTATTATTTGGTGTCATTACTTTGAGATGCATGCGCTCACAACCATATTATGTGTTGGGGGCCACAGAGAAACAACAAATTGTATTCAATGAAAACACCCTTGCCTTTCCTGAACTAACACTTGCACTTGTCTTTTCTTACTTGCTGACAGCTACTTTATTGAGGACAAATGTACTTACTATGACTGTGATATGGGGTTGTCTCACCTAGCTATCTTAAGATAAATGCAGTAAGTCGTTCTGGATAAGAGCGTCTGCTAAATGACTACAATGTAAATGTAAGTTACTGTACTGTGGTACTGTTTTCAATCACATAAATCAATGTTTTTTCTTGTCTTTTTTAGTTCTACCTGTCCTACCACCTGTACATTGTAGCATGCGCTGGAGCCGGGGCCACCGTCATTGCTCTGGTAAGCTCACCTCTCTCTCTCTCTCTCTCTCTCTCTCTCTCTCTCTCTCTCTCCTCTCATCCTCCCACTCAGTCCATCCTTGCACGGTTTGTATCTGACTGTAGAAAATGAATCCAGTGCTCCTCTCCTCATTTCCCATATGGTTTATGTAACCTCTGTAAAGCAGATTACACATAGGCTTTTCCACATCTCCAATCCCATTCGCTGTAAACCATCTGCTTAGATGCCCCTGGCCCCAGTCTTATTTTAGGAAAAAGGAAACAGGGTGGAGGCTTGCCTTGGCAATGTGTATACAGTATCAAGGAGAATCTCTGTAAGGATATAAACATTTGTAGACTAAATCAGAGTGCTTTGAACTAAGGCCACCACATTTCCAAAGAGTCCCATCTTGGGTGTTTTGAAAACAATGAGTATGATAGAACAGGAAAATTATTTTAAAAGTCTAGGCCATCGAGTTCATTTTGTTCTCTGATTGCTTCCAAAGATAGTTTCACAAGTTTCTACTTAACGCACATCTGAAAGTGACAAACATTTATATTTTACTAATACTTTTTTTTTTTTTTACAAGTAAAAATGAAAGATCAGTTGTTGCCCATATGGCAGCCATGCACATTCCTGGAGTGTTCTCTTACCGCCTGTATTCTGTTCTCTTCCACCAGCTGATCTACATGATGGCTACCACTTATAACTTTGCCGTTTTGAAGTTTAAGAGTCGAGAAGACTGCTGCACTAAGTTTTAAATGGTGTTCAGAGACACAGCACAGTACAGTCTATGACACTAAACTGAATAGAGACAGCAGCCACTTACTACATGGACTAAAAACTGACAGAAAATAGACAAAAACATATCTCCATTAGTATTCACCTAAAGTGTAAATAGCTGATTGTATGCGTCCTTTAGCATTTGATATCCAGGTATAGGCCTGTCGGAAGGTTCAACGGTACCCAAGGAGAGTTGTCTTCAGAATGGGGTGGTGTATAGTTGGCAGGGTTATGCTTTTCTCCAGCACATGTTAAGATCTGATTAGAACATTAAATCAGTAATAACTCCCTTAAATGAATAGGAAGACAAAAAACACTTAATCACAGGACAATACAGTATTTTGAATGAGTTCTCAGGCTTCAGTCAGTGCTATGACTATCGCTCTTACATTTGGGGTGAAAAAAGTATTCGTTTTTTACTAATGGTCAATTTGTCTGAGGACCAGCCAGCCTTGTCATAGTGCCTTTTCCCCATTCATGTTTTCGGTTTGATCATGTGTACTTTTGTATTTTCTTGGTGCAAGCCACAAAGTGTTACACAGAGAATTGTCAGTATTACAAGCTTCTGTCACAAACTAGCTCCTAAATCGTATATAGATGTAGACACTCTTCATCTGTAAGATGACATAGACAAGATGAACAGTGTTGTACAGTAGCACTTCAAAAATAACTGCACATATAACTAGTATTTTGAAGGGTTAGGCCAGTACCAGGGGTATATTTTTGCTCAAGGTATATAGCCTCAGTTTATGACTTCATACATTTTATAAAGGAGGTTTTCCTATTTTAGAGGAGTAATGTGATTTTTTTATGCAAACTGATGCATTCATAGCTTCAGCTGATAGTTTCATGTTTTGTTTAATTCTTTTTTCTCTGACTCATCCAGAAACTGCCAATCAATTGTTTAAAGAGCCACTGTTGTTTTTTTTAACACTGAGCCTGCATGCTTACTTGTAGTTTTTTTGTATTCCTTAATCTGTTTATGATTACTTATATTCCATATTTCATAAATATTTAATTATTTCCTAAGATTTCTGAAGACTGTAGTTATTATTTTTCTCTTTCTATACAAAATAAACAATCTTTGTGTACAAAATATCCTTAATGGTCTATTTTATTCTCAAATGAAAGACAGACGCTAACTGAGAACACTACCAATGACAGAACACAGGAAGATAGGGTCTACTCCATCTCACGTCTCAATCTAATTTCCCACTAACCTCTGACCTTCACTAACCACCATCCTCATCAAGCTTGCACGCAAAACCTCAAACCCCACTCCCCTTCAAAATGTCTCTTCTGTAGTACTGTTTGTGCATAGTGTAATAATAATGTTAGTTGTGTCGATAATAATGATATAACATTACTGTGGTTTGTCTGTTGTCAGCTTAACGTTGTGTTATATGTGTGTGTGACGTAGCTCTGACTCCTGTAGCCTGCTTTGCATCTTGACATGCTCACCGGCCATCCACCTCACCCTTCTCTTCCAGATCCACTTCCTCATGATTCTCTCAGCAAACTGGGCCTACCTAAAGGACGCCAGTCACATGCATGCCTACCAAGACATCAAAATGAAGGAAGAGCAGGAGCTGCACGACATCACCTCTCGCTCAAAGGAATGTCTCAATTCCTACACATAAGGATTACGCCCTCGTCCGCCCCTTACACCTCTATGGCCACACACACACACACACACACACACACACACACACACACACACACACACACACACACGCAGCCGCACCCAGGCTAGCTCATGCGGCCTACCGGCCCAAGAGAACACTCAGCTCCCATAACCTGCCAGCTGCCCTCATGCAGCACAGTAACACAGCTCCTAACAAACTAATGCATCAATGTCGCTTTCTGCAACTAACTAACCAAGACGTGTCGGAACCTCTGTTTTGTGTTTTGTATGTGAATATACTTTTGTTTTTATTTTTCTAATTGTCGAAGAAGACAAATAAACCGTTTAGAAAAATGCTTTTTTTTGTTTTCTTCCTAATCAGTCTTTGCTGGTGAAGCTTGAAACATTGCACTATTCTAACACAAGAATGTAAAGAAATAGTGAAACTTGTTTTAGAGTGTTCTGTTATGATTCTGGCCTGACTGTTGGGCATTTATGAATAAGAGAGAGCAGGAAGTTTGTGTCAGCGAGAAGAGAATCTGATTTTTTTAAATCAAAGATGCAGTTTTGATAACACTTCATAGCACAACATGAAACGCCTTACAAAATCACAGTTATATTAAATGTGTTGTTTTTAATTGCACACTTGTTTGGTCCTCCTGGCTTTGAATGGAGAGAATATAAGGAAGAGGAATATGAAGGCACAACAACATTCCATTGTAGAACAGAACATGCATTTGTTGGCTTCATTGACAATGTATTTATGTTACCCCTCTGCCCATTAAAACTACGTTAGGTTTAGATGACTTTTCTCTTGATAGTAGTTTTCCTATTTTAGGGCTGACATTGAGTTGAAATAGGTATGCTAATTCTGATTCTAGAATTTCACAATTTACATTCATCACGTGCATAAATAATGATGCAAAATACTAATTCCCTCAGGTGTACAATAGTGGGCCTACGTAGGTACACTTTATGTACATACACAGGTATTTTACTTAACCACGTGCCCATGTAACTGTAAGCAAAACCGTGGTGGTTTCAGATTTTAGTCCTTTTGGAAGGCAGAATACCTTACACTAAAATACATGTAAAGACTTTTTAAACTCTGGCAAGTGAATGGTGCCAACAAGAGTTATACTGTTAGACTGACCAAAATATTTCATCACCAAAGTGTGATACCATGAGTAATAATTAGTATCATTTTTGTTTATTAAATGCAGCATTTTTATAGCCAGTCTACATATAATTTAAAATGTCATGGTTAATGTCTTTGTGAGATGAAAAATAAATTTCAAATTTGACAATAGAGCATGAGGATGGTATACTACCCTGTTGGACAGTGGGGCTTGTACATCCAAATTATTGTTGGGATGAATAAATGCTTCCTATTGTATAGTGTATATCTCTCACAGTTAATTCCAAATTCCCATGTGACTTGAAGTTCCCTTTTGCGATTGTTAAATGTTCATCCCTATAACTACAAGATACAGGATGCTTACATTTTACTTGGTTGAGAAAAAAAATGGCTATCTGTAACGAAACATTATTTGATTGAATGTGATGTGCTTTGTTACCATGGTAGACCTTACGATTTAGACAGTGCAAGTAAGATGTGTGAATGTTATCCCTTCTACATCCAGGCTAACTCAGTCTTAGGATGTGGATCTACAAAAAAATCAGTGCTTGTATGTGTACAGTGTAAAGATGTTACAAGTCAGGAATCTTTTTGTGATGTTTCAATCTTGTTTTTTATTGAATATATAACCACTTAAGAAAAAACGTTTCAAAATCTCTTCAATTGCATTTCAGTATTGTTTTTGACATGCAATTGTTAAAACACTGACATAATTACTGATGCAATATTTTTCTGTTAGGTAGAGGAGACACAGGGATATTGATGTTTATTCATTATTGCATGAAGGAGAAAACTGTTTCTGCAGTGATACAGGTGATGTGTAGTCATTTGTACTGACAACTATGGTAGGCAGTGTTTGCCTGTTTCCTTTTTTTTCTTTTTCTAACAGAGAACAAATTAATCCATTGTATGTCCATTGTATGGCATAGTAGTCCTAGGTGTTTCTTAGTTCTTATTTTTCCAAGTCTGAAGTATATGAATCCTCTGTAGTATTTTGTAACCTAATAGTGTACCCCATTTTTTCTATGAGTGTCAAGGGCTTCCTTGTGAATTTATTTCAAGTGATACTTAACGCCTCACAGTATTATGAATATTAATCATCACCATATAATTGAAAATGGCAATCTGACCATGAATAGAATACGGTTCAGACAAAGTTTATAAGCCACTGTAAGTGTTGATTGACAACATCTTATTTTGTGAACAAAGCGGTCTCAGAAATATTGTAGAACAGATTCAAAAGTGGCCTGCAGGAAGATGACTGATGTGAAGTGAATTACTTTGATCATACAGTCTCATTATACAGTGCTTCCTGTGAAAAAAGTACCAAAAAATAATAGAAATCAAAATGGCTACCGATCAATCCCCAGGAGGACACCAATCCAACATCCTGTCTGACTGGGATCCACTCTGACATTTCTCTCTCAACCAGCCTGTTAACTGTTTTTATGAAAATAAAAAAGACTAAAATGAACTCCATTCAATTATGTACTGCATTTCTTTTCCATGTCAATGGGTATAGAACCTAATGTCATGGTACACACACACACACGCAAAAGTTGTAAGCAAGTGTCGATAAGTCACTTTGAGGCACTGTGTCATTTATAAATCAAAGGTTTATTAGTTAATGAACCAAGACTGACATTTATACAAAAAAACAATAAAGTAAGACGTACAGTAGTATTGCACCTTTCGCACACACGTCTTCACACTCTGTACCACCTCACCAGAACTCATCTGCATCTTCATGTGAGAAAGCAACGCTAAAGAGGAATAGAATAATCGTTTATTAGTATTAGTCTATGGATAGGATTGAAAAACACGTTCTTGATAAATTGGTCTAAAAACCAAAATACTGGTATATCAGAGGAGAGGAGGTCCTTTCTTGTGAAGTGAGTCAGGAAACCTCACTGACAGTCTCTCTGCCAGATCTCAAATCTGCCAAACTCTTCTCCTCTCTGACAAGCACTGTGAAATGTTTAGACTTACCTGTCATCTTTCTCATCAGACAAACTCTTGGCCTCAGGGCTCCTGTGTTCTGGCTCCTCTCTACCAGCAGGGCTCTAAAATAACAACACAAATTCAAACACTCCACTGGATACACTCACCTGCTGCTTCAGTTCCACAAGAAAAACAAAGCTTGTCAGCAGATTTGTTGACACCAACAGGTCTTCACAGAAAAGTGTGTGTGAGTGTGTCGCACCTGTACATGCTGACTCCGTCTTTGCTCCATGATCATCTTCATGTACTTCTGGAGTGGATCTTTGTCTGAGGACGGGGCTTTCTCCTCCTGAGGCTCTTCTGCCTCCTTCGGTTCTTCCTGCCCTCCTCTCTCCTCATCTTCCCCCACCTCTTCATACTGCTGCACTTCTTCCAATAGCTAAGAAACAGATAGGTCAATCCATCAATGTTAAGGTCATTTTAGAAGGAGTCTAAAAACTTGGAAATTAATGAATAAATCAATAAAGGTGAATGTCAGCGCAACAGTCTAGTAGTTCATCCCTACCCTTTCTTGCTCCAATCTCTCCAGTTCTCTCAGCTCCCTCTCCTGGGCTTCCTCCTTTTCCCTCCGTCGCTTGTCTTCTCTTTCTCTCCTCTCTCGCTCCCACCTCAGCTCCTCCTCTTCCTCCTCCTGTCTGGCAGGTTCATCCAGAGTTTGTTGAACTTCTACAAATCAAAGTGGGTTCACTTGAGTTAAAAGAATGAGCTGAATCGGTGCTCCCTGCACAGTGGTTTTAAACGGGACTACCATATTGCAGTATAGTGGTGAGTTATCAAACATCAAGTTGGATAAAACATGGCCAGAGTATGGCCATTGCATTGTGGGTGGGGTGACAGATCAATTAGTCTAAAAGTTGGGTGTGCTCTTCTAGGGAGAGGGGATGTGCTCCATTACTAACCCCCCTGCAGCTGAGTCTCTGTGAGGTCCCAAGGGGCCCGAGATGGGGGGACAGTCAGGGGCCCATCAAGGGCCTCCTCCTCAGGGCCTGCCGTGTCCAGGAGCAGCTCTGGAATGTGTCTGGGCTCTGGAGGGTGGGGGGGAGAGAGAGAGAGTCACAATGAGGCCCTTTATGCTCTGGCCATAAAGCAGTGAGGCCAGGAGGACCAACACAGAATACATAATCAGCTGCCCTTCATCCATTGTGCCGGGCCAGTGAGGACACTCTGGAGGCCAGTCACACATTCATTAAAACACAGCCATTTGAAAACAGACATAACTGATTTAGTAGTATGTGTTGTTGTTACAGTGATTTATAGATAACCTGTGTAAATGTATGGAAAGAGTAATTCCTGATTAAGGCCACCTTAAACTGATATGCATTACTAGCAGTCATTCTAAATGGGATTCACCAGTAAAAGTATGAGAATGAAGGCAACATATGGGGTTAGGAGGGGCATTTGGTATGGGCAGACATATGGCATACTATATGGCCCGTACCCTCTGTTGGTTGGCACTGATTCAGCACTCAGATTTTAAGATGCTTCTCATAGGTGAAAACATGCCTGGATTTGCAAACACTCCCAAATCTAATATGGATCAGTCAATCTGCAACATCAGATGCAGAAAACCTTGGATGCATCATTTATAATGAAATATGTGAATATTTCAATGCCACTGGTCAACAACACAAGCAAATATCCCAACACCATTCCTGCAGTGCTGAAGGTGCTGCTGCCCCCCCGCCCGCCCCTGCCCTTCCCAAGGTATGATTCCAGTATTACAGCATTACAGTGGGGAAACGCACAGGTGCTGTATGTTTAGGAAGCAAAGCATGCTGGGAGCACAGAGGGCTGTGTCATCTCTGCCTGGCGTCCTATAGAGAAGGCTTCTGCCATCTCAGATATCTCCAAGCCACAGCAGATATTAATAGACTGACTCCAGCATGGCGAACAGCTGCCCACGAATTAAGGTGACATTTTAATCATAATGCCGTTCAATGGTTACGGTCAACAGAGATTATATAGTGGAATGTAATAATACGACTGGAAACAGACACATCAATCATAATTCAGCTTGGTGTTATAGTGCTTTGTATTTTTCACGGTAGAATGGAAAGGTTGACTGGTTATGAAGTAAATCCCACTATTTAAGGACGGGGGACGATGTACAATAAAATGTACGTAGTAGCACATAGTCAACATAATGTGAATTGAAGTACATTACAGTAGTGAAAAGTATTATGTAAACTAAACCCCATATTGAAGAAAGAGAGATGGATGAGTCATTTTGGTCCAATTTCAAGTACATATTAAAACAGAACACACCCCCAGCACAATATCCCAGGAATATACCCTGCACCTGTTGTGTCATCTGCTGCTTCTCAAAAAGCAAGACGGACACCAACACAAGATAACAAAACTGATCTGGGATTAAGAGTACCTGGCAAAGGCTCTGTGAGATCTTCAATGGTTATCTTCTCAGGCTGAGGGGAAGACTCTGACTCTGAACTGGAGAAGATGATTTGCTGTACCTGTGGTGGACTACAGACAAACAAACAACTGTACCACTGAACTGAATCAATCGTAATATATTGTTATAATGCCCTTCATGTGGTGAACCCTGGTGCTACCTGCATTGGCCTCGTGCGGTGCTCCTGAGCTGAGGGCTGAGAGGTGGGGAGAGATTGGAGGTAAAATCCCCTGCGCACGCCACCTCTCCGTGGAGCAGGGGGAGGGGGGAGAGCTGCCTCTCAGGAGACAGCACAGGAAACGCCACAGACGATACCTCAGCCTCTGAGAATGAGAGGAGGAGCAACTGTTAGTTACAAAATGCAGCAAACGACAGAAGATACAGCTTCAGCACTGTCATATGGGGTTTCAAAACGCTTAAAATGGTAGGGCTTAAAGTGGGAAAAAAGATGGAGATGACAAGATGTCGACTAAAACTCAGTATATGTTATGGACTGACTCAATGAATCACAAGTTATGAATGGGATATAAAATACTAACTATACACCAAGACAAGCATTGTTTTGAGCAATGACAATGAATTATTTCCAAAACACATTTTACAGTTTTTGCAGTAAAGCGCTTGGGACATTAAATCCGTTTGAAGTGAAACAACCCACTAAAACAGATTGCACGCTCCTACCTTCCACAGGCTCTGTGTGAAGCTGCCTCCTGGAGAGGGAGAGGGGTGTGGAAGACAGGCGTCTAGGGGGAGAGGAGCTGCCTTCCTGGGGGCGTCTGTCTCCTGAAAACCGGGCCTCACTGAAGTCCAGGGACTGGATGTCCCTTCCACTCCCTGGACCAGGGTACTGATGCTGGGCCTGGTCTTCAGCGAAGGTCACTCTGGGCTGGGGAGAGGTGGGGACTCTAGTACGCTGGGGAGGGGGTTGTCGTTGAGGGGAGAGAGGTCTGTGTGAGACCTGTGGATGCTGGGGTGAGTGGGGCCGAGGGTGGGGGGTGACTTGTTGTCTTTGGGGCGAGCGAGGGCGTTGGTGAGAGATATGTTGCCTCTGAGGTGAGTGAGGGCGGGGTGATGCCGGTGCTCGTTGGGTTGAGAGACATCGCGGGGGCAGCATGTGAGACACCGCCCTCTGCTGGTAGTTCCTGTAAGCTTCCTCCAGCGTCTCCGCCTCCTTCTCCAGCTCTCTGATCCTGGCCTTGGCCCCGGCCACCAGCTCAGCGTCAGAGTCTAGGGAGCTGCTCCGCCCCCAGCGAGGCCTGCGCCCTCGAGAGGGCATCACACCTGCTTCACACACATCATCATAACCCGCTGCCCAGGCTCTCAGGACACCTCTGTCCACATAGATATCAGGGGGCACTAGTTTATCAGGACTGAGCTCCAGCACTGAGCGGTCCACTAGGGAGGGCTTAGGGTTACGCAGGACCTCGTTTTCTAGAGCTGCCCACCGCAATCACACAGAACCAAGAGATGAAAGGGGGAAAATAAATGGGGAGAGAAAGAGGAGAAGATGAGGGCAAAGACAAAATACCAACCACCATAAGGAGATAAGATGGAGAAAGTGATTTGTAAACTAAGTCTAAGGGTGCTTGTCAATATCATGAAGTGGATTCCTCTCCTGGTCTCCATTCCTTCATCTGTACTGATCTGAGAACAGCGATTAAGCGAAAGTAGTGTGTCGAAAGCCTACTGTAGGACTTGCTTTCACCTGTTCAACTTTTGAAGATCAGAGCAGATGAAGGAACAGGAATGAAGAGAGTCAGGACAGGCCACTACTGAGATGCAGACTACTACACAAGCTAAGCTACAAAGGCTAGGCTTCATGAAAAATACATAGTTGTGTAGCAGAGCTAGATCCAGAAACTACAATATGCACACATGATTCAGGGTGACTAGCCATGTCAAAAAAAAAAAAAAAACACGCCACAAGGACCATGTACCTAGTTGTGTTTGTCGGAGCTGCATCTTGATGTCTTCTGCATGGGTGGTCATCCACTGAGTCCTCTCCTCACATTCTATGAGCTGGGCCTTCAACTGGGCAGAGCGCTCCACCTGGTATACACAGACACAGTCAACAAGAGGTTAATACAGACAGAGAACACCTCCAACAGGTGGACACAGCCAACAAGATGTTACAGACAGAGAAGAAGACCCTGCAACAGGTGCAAGATGACATGCAGGCTCCCAATTGGACCGAAACCCAGATGTAAGGCCTAACTATAACCATGAAGAACTAAACGTCAGGCCAGTTGTGTGTTAAAGAGAAGAAGACGCTCTACTCTCCACATTGTTTCCCACACTATCAGAGAAGCATTGTGTCACTGACCTCATTATGGAGCTGGGCCTGCAGCACCTGTCTGTGGCTGTCAAACTCCTCCTCCGACAGCCTCCTGGCACTCTCCAGCCTCCTCAGCTCCGTCTGTAACGCCAGCTGCTCCACCGACGGCCTGCCCAGATCTACGGGGAGACAATCGGATAGGAGAGTCACAACATCCCGGCTAACAGCTTACACATTAGAGCACTCATTGTACAGTATATCCAATTACCAATCTTTAACTTTTCAACTATGGACAAGTAATAATGGGCTTAGGTTGAGTATTTTTCTTAAAAGCATTGTGACAATGCCCCAGAAATGTCAAGGGAGGTTTTGTGGCAAAAACTTTCATGTCAGGTGAAAATCAGAAGTTATGTGATACGCTCCAGTTAATCTCCTCAGCTAGCTACAGTACATTGGTTTGGCTGAGATGGTGCTGGGAGGTTGACATTATCGAGCACATGGTACTAGCCTAACTCTGTGGTTAATGAAGCCTACTGTTAGTAAGAAAGAGAGAGGAGGGGAGGGGGGGGAGAAAGAGAGCGGCCCATTGGTCCCCCGTCCACCCTTCTCCTCTGACAGGAAGAGCATTGTGTCCCTCAGAGAGGGATGAAGCATGGGCCCTCTGTCCCTCCTCCCCTCCGTCGCTTGGCCCCATCCACCCCCACATCCCCCCTGCTTTCACTTCACAGAGCCGTCTGTAAAGCCACAAACACTGCAGAGAGGCCCCGCATTGACAGTCATCTAGAGCACATCCAAAAAGACTTTGCCACAGTGCCAAGACCAGTTGGGCAGAGTAGACTGAATAGTTCCCACTACAGTGTCTATACAGACTCCACACAGCCAAAAACGACATACTGTATCCTCTCTGGGTTGGAAAAGAATTTCATGCATTATTTGTATATTTCTCAACACATTCCATTTGACCAGAAAATAGAGAGCATCTCTAAACTATGTAACCTCTGAACTAGCGAAAGTGATAAAACAAACGTTTCCCACTTAGAGAAAAGGACTAGTCAGAGAGAGATGCTAGAGGGTAAAATGGAAGCAAAAAGGAAAGGAAAATGTCACTGGTTCCCCACACGCCCAGACTGAGCCCACCTATGCAAAACTGAAAGAAGAAGGCAGTAGCCTATCTCATCTGGTAAGGCCATCGTTCCTCACCTGCCCGCAGGCGCTGGTTCTCCTCCTGAGCTTCCTCCAGCTGTTTCTTCAGCAGCCTGAACTGGGCCTGCTGCTCCACCCTCTCTCGCCTCAGGGTGGGGTAGTCATTCATGGTCTCCAGCCTCTCTCTCAGCAGCTCATTCTGCTGCGTTAGCAGAGAGAACTGAGACTGGGACGTGTCCAGCTCCATCTAAATGACAGAGAGTAGCATGCATACAGTAAGGGCCAAATCAGTATGTGAAAATGTTATGTCTGTGGATCTCATGTTATGTCTCAGTTGTACACATGAACTTAGTCAGCTTAAAACTGTGAACCATCTGATGACAATATGTCTAAGGACAATCCTACAAAGCAGGGCCACTCTCTGCATTACAGTATCATTGGTTGCCAAGTTTACCTGCAATTGTCTCAACTCCGCACAAGCTCTGCGGTGTTCCTCTAGCTTGGCATCGATTGCAGCCGACTCCTTCTGCATACGAATAGTCTCCACTGAGAGAAAAGGAATGGGCGATGATAAGACATTCGTATAAAATGATACAAAGCACAACAGTTAATACATTGTTTATAATGAAGGCCTACAGGAAAAACACAGACCTTTGGTTCTTTTCTCATTCTCTGTGAGTGTTTCGGTCCTTTTGATGTACTCTTCATTCAACTCAAGCTGATATCTGATAGAGAGAAATACCAAATAATCACTAAGGTTATTTATACGAGGAAAGCATTGACATAAACAACATGGAATAATGACTGACAGTAACATAAATGCCATAGGCCTACATGTTAGTAATATAAGACAGTAATGTAACATATTATAAACTGGGTGTTTCGAGCCCTGAACGCTGATTGGCTGACAGCCATGGTATATCAGACCGTATACCACGGGTATGACAAAACATTTATTTTTACTGCTCTAATTGCGTTGATAACCAGTTTATAATAGCAATAAGGCACCTCAGGGGTTTGTGATATATGGCCAATATACCACGGCTAAGGGCTGTGTCCAAGCACTCCGCGATGCGTCATACATAAGAACAGCCCTTAGCTGTGGTATATTGGCCATATACCCCACCTCCTCGGGCCTTATTGCTTAAATACAGCGTGACGGTAACATAATAGTTTCCTGAAGTGTTGCACTGCTTAGCGTACATCAAACTTCTTATACTTAGACTGTAACATGCAAATGAGCCACCTATCTCAAAACCATGACATGATAGTGCACGACAGTGCATTATGAGACTGGCACTGGGTAGATGCTCTATTCAAGAAGCGATGCATCTGGACTGCTTGTTGCACAGCCTCTGTGCCCAGTCCTCGTGCATGTTACACTAATGCTAACTGACAGCTGGCTATACTAGCCAGATTTACGATCTAAAAATAAGTACCTTGTGGTTGTAGGGTTTAAGAGGTGATAGATGTGGTGAGAGTCAAACTTATTAGCATTCAAAGCTACTTAGCCCAATTTTCAAGGCTGTACAATACACTGTACAGTATCATCCCTGCAATCCCTTTTATCAACTGAATCAGAAGGTGAATTAATTGTCCTTGATGAACTGGATCCAAGCACACAATACATCAACAAAATATGCATAGAGGATATGATGGTGAACGTCAGAATACTCATATTTTTGCTCTACACAAGAGTGCCACCTTCTGGATGCAGAGAGAATATATGTCATGGAATGATGAGGCCTTCTATGTGCTGGGAGGTGAAGGGAAATCCAACCGATAGAGCAGGTAACTATTATCTCAAAAAAGTACAGAACAGTCCAAGTAGGCTACATTTTGCAAAATGACATCATAATACCTTGAAAGCTCATTCTTCAGCTTTTGGTCATAGGTGTCCTCCGTCATCTTCACTGCAAACTCTCTTCTTCTCAGCAGGTCCTCCATGGTCTTGGTCTTGTCTTCCTGTATTTTGCAAGTCCTGTGGTGAATACGCATTCTGTGAGTAACATGCTAAACCAACCCTGATAACCCCAGTATGACAATGATTCAGCATGAGTACGGCAATATGACTTCATCTTACTTTTCAAAAGCCTCCATCCTTAACCTCAGCTCAGCTTCTCTATTCCGCACAGTTTCTATTTCTTTCAACACAGCTTGTCTCTGCATATAGACGTCTTTCTCCTCAATCTGAAAAACACAAATGAAATACAAAGTAATCCATAACATCACATAACCACACAACACCGAAAGCAAAAAGTTTAAGAAAATAGAACGACCCAAGTAGAACATGAATTGGCCACTGAATCTATGATTGGAGAACTGAGTATCAAGTACCTCTTGTTGTTTCTGTAATCGATCGATGGCGTTCTTCTCCCTATTGATCAATGCCTCTGACTTCATCTTATAAGTCCTCTCCATGTCCTGCCTCAGCTGCAAAATCTCTTTGCGAGATTTATCTTTTTCCTCCATCTTCACTTTGGCTATTTCCACATCTTTATAATGTTGCAGCTGAAGAAGCAAAAAGCACCACGTTTCTCAATATAAACATTTCCAACACTAGAACATCAGAATGCATAAAGAGGCGTTGAGAAACAGAGTCATACCTTTGCATTCATTTCTGCTTGAACCTGTGCTTCAACTTCTTTTCGATATGCAGCAAGCTTAGATTCATAGGACACCCACTTGTCCCCTTTGTAGCGGAGAGCTTCATACTCCTCATCGATCATTTTCATCTTGTCAACTGCACACACAAAAGGTCCATTATTTAGTTATTAAATGTATGTCAAGCAGTATTTTACTGTAATACTTGGTTAATTTGAGAGTGCTTCATACATACCAAGAGATTCTCTATAAGCTGGCATAGTGGTGGTCTGAGTCTCAGCATCACATCGTTCTCCATGCAGATGATGGTCTGTTAATTCTATCAGGAGACTCATCAGGAAACCTGGAAGAGACATCAATAAGGGACATGACAGGATGCTCGAGCTGACAACAGGGGGCTTGGAATATGAAAGTAAACATCACGCAACATGCAACATACCCTTATTATCTTTCTGTGTGCTTGATGCCTGTTGAAAAAAATACAAATAACCATCATTCACATCATAGGTACAAATTATTATCATTTTGTATGATTTTACCAAGATGTTGTCATTACCAGAGATTTGTAAAGGGGTGACGGCGGGCTGATTTTCATGAGTTGAAGAAGGTCTCTTGAAGTGAAAATCTGGCAGGGTGTAGATGAGAGCATAGTCAACAAAGAGTATACTGTAAAGGAAGAAGCTGAGAGTTCAGCACCAGCAAAGCTGACCACACATTACTGGAGTGGGGTCATTCAGAGCTCCAACATAATACAATGCATTGTACAGGACCAAACATAAAGTACTGCGTAGTGATGGTGGGAAAGAAATCGATAGTTACATATCAGGACATTATTTTTGACGATATATCGTATCATTTTGACAATATCGCAATATTATTTTTGCGCTAGTTGGCTGTACCTGCACCAAAATGTCATAGCTTGTTCTCCATCTTTTTTTAACATAGGGAGCCAATTTGTTTTCAGCACTTTTATTTCCATGACTGATCATAACCTTTGTTTCATGGCTTTCTTTTGTCCCTCTGCTGCAGACATATAGTGAGCAATATGTTTGGAACATTGAATCGCAATAAAATCACAGTATTGAATCACAATACATATCGTATCGGTATCATGATAATTTTTATCGTTGATGTCCCTGGCAATTCCCAGCCCTAGTACTGTGTTACTGCTCCAAAGCATAAGTGCAAGTGCTCACCTTATCTTTGCCCATGCCACATTCAGGGTAGAACACAGACAGGGTGTACTCATACCCAGAATTCCTCAGATGATCTACCACCAGACTGTTAGAAGCAGTGACCAGGACAGAGTCTGACTTCATAGGGACTGGCCTGGGAACAGTTTCTCCACTCAAGATGGGGTGCTTCAATTCATGGATCAACTGATTACGAAGCTGCGTCTGGAACAAGGAAATAACGTTTGACAAAGGGGGAAACAATGGTCTTTGGTAGTAAAATACTAAATACTAATGTAAATACTTACTTTAAGTGTGTCAAGCACTCCTCGATTCTTAAAGGTTTGGTAAAGCCTCTTCCTCAGCTCATCTGGGGATAAAGCCTCCTCCTTGGCAACAGACATGTTGACCTCAGTTGGGGAACAGAGGATCAATCAACGAATACTTGCTAGCTGGTTTTTCTTGCTGGAGACAAATACCAAATTCTCTGTAACGCGACTAACATGTATATAGCTAGTGTTTATGGCACTTATTTCAACGTATTCGGGTTTAAATGACCTGCTTAGTAACCAACGGCGTCCTCTCCAAGTGCCCACAGCTTTGAATTCAACGAACTGGCATGTTATCGTTCTAGTTCCGGTCGCACAGTTATGATGCATATATTATGTATTTGAAATCAGAAATAAAAACAAATACATTAGTCAACTAACAGATATATTATTACATATGCATACATCAAATGTAATATAAGGTATACAAAATTACAAAATCGCCTTGTTATTGCAAATTTATTTTATATTCAACTTTTTCATGTCGTTATCAAACAGCGACGTTATCCCCGTAAAGGAGAGGCTCGTTTTTAACAGGTAAACAAACATTTGATTTATCAAATTAAAACCATTGCTTTAGAGGTCAAATGCATGTACCTATGGGATCTTTATGAAAATTAAGACTTTTGTAGTTTGCTTCAATGTGTTTAGCTTGACGATAATCACGTATTTGCAGCACGATAGCTACATTAAGGTTAGCTACAAGCTAATTTAGCTAGCTAGTTAAGGATTTAAGTCCAGTGTCCATATTACTACTATCCAATAATGTATATATTTCTGTTCACACAGAACATTGCAGGTTGCTGGAAAGAAACATGTCTGGGAGTTTCTATTTTGTCATGGTTGGGCATCATGATAATCCTGTCTTTGAAATGGAATTCTTGCCTGCTGGTAAAGCTGAGTCAAAGGAAAGTGTCTTTATGGTATCCTCAACATCATATATATATATATATATATATATATATAGGCCTATGTTCCTGGTAACTGTCTAAAGGGGCAGCTAGCCTATATAACTGTGTATTGATTTTATTTTATATTATAGATATTGGTCTACATCCAGTAAAAAGAAGAGGCTACTGTAATGCCCACTCGATTACCATTCTGTCTCTTCTATGTAAACAGGATGACCACCGGCATCTAAACCAGTTCATTGCACATGCAGCCCTCGACTTGGTGGATGAAAACATGTGGCTGTCTAACAACATGTACCTGAAAACTGTGGACAAGTTCAACGAGTGGTTCGTCTCTGCCTTTGTCACTGCAGGACATATCCTTTTCTAGCTATTACCCAATACCTACAGGTAAGTAAGTAGCCTTGTCCAAGCCAGAACAGTCCATAGGGCAGGAGCATATCTCCTGTTTCTGTAGCTTGTGGCAGCTTGATGTACAATTGAACTCTGCATAGGACGCTAGCCTATCACAGGGACATATCCCCAATCTTGAGTGCTGAGTGCCAGGCAGAGAAGCATCGGGTCCCGTTTTTTTTTGTCTTTGGGATCTGGTAATGAAGTGTGGCTGTTCAGCAAGTTGAGGAGACTTAATTACTTGGTGTTACCTTAGATTGTAAACTGTCATGGTCAAAACATATTGATTCAATGGTTGTAAAGATGGGGAGAGGTCGGTCTGTGATAAAGAGATGCTCTGCTTTTTTGACACAACAGTCCACAAAGCAAGTCATGTAGGCTCTAGTTTTATCTTATCTTGATTATTGTTCAGTCATATGGTCAAGTGCTGCAAAGAAGGACCTAGTTAAGCTGCAGCTGGTCCAGAACAGAGCGGCACGTTTTGCTCTTCATTGTAATCAGAGGGCTAATATCAATACTATGCATGCCAGTCTCTCTTGGCTAAGAGTTGAGGAAAAACTGACTGCATCATTTCTTATTTTTATAAGAAATATTAATGTGTTGGAAATTCCAAATAGTTTGCATAGACAACTTACACACAGCACTGACACACACACTTACCCCAACATACATGCCACCAGGTGTCTTTTCACAGTCCCCAGGTCCAGAACAAATTCAAGCAAACATACAGTATTATACAGAGCCATTATTGCATGGAACTCCCTTCCATCTCATAAAGCGAAAGTGAACAGCAAACCTGTTTTAATAATTAAAAAAATTAAATAAAGCAACACCTCACGGCACAACGCCTCTCCCCCATGTGACCAACGTTTTGTGTGTATGTATTGACATGTATGTGTAACTGATAGATGCACACACATGTAAATGTCTCCTGAGTGGCGCAGTGGTCTAAGGCACTGCATCGCAGTGCTAGCTGTGCCACTAGAGATCCTGGTTCGAATCCAGGCTCTGTCGCAGCCGGCCGTGACCGGGAGACTCATGGGCGGCACACAATTGGCCCAGTGTCGTCCAGGGTAGGGGAGGGAATGGCTGGCAGGGATGTAGCTCAGTTGATAGAGCATGGCATTTGCAACGCCAGGGTTGTGGGTTCGATTCCCACGGGGGGCCAGTATGAAAAATATATATATATATATATATGTATTCACTAACTGTAAGTCGCTCTGGATAAGAGCGTCTGCTAAAATGTAAATGTAAATGTTTTTAAATGTATGTAATTTGTAAAGTATTTTGTCTGTAATGTATTTTTCGCTATGTGTCGGACCCCAGTAAGACTAGCTGTCGCCGTTGGCATGGGGATCCTAATAAAATCAAGACTCGACTGGGGATTGAACCTTCAACCTTCCAATCTCAGGGCGGACACCAACCACAAGGCCACAGAGACCTATATAGCCCTCTGGAAACATTGCAACAAAACATAAATATTATGTCTACAGTGTTGAATTCAACAAATCATCATTGTTACTAAGGGCCCAGACAAATAATTAGTGTGTGTGTGTTCCATTTTTCCCTTAACCATCTCCATCACATATGAGATTCATCATGCTTCATGATGTACGACAAGAAGATGGAATCAAAAACTTCTTCAATGACGTGTATGATTTATACATTAAGGTGAGTTATCCTTTCTATATACAGTATGTTCATGTATAATTAATATTCTGATGATTTATTCTTGTTCATTATTCTGTGCTCTTTACCAGTTTGCAATGAATCCTTTCTATGAAACCAATGCTCCAATCCGGTCGACGGCATTTGACAGGAAAGTACAGTTCCTTGGAAAGAAGCACCTCTTGAGCTGATGAACTAACCTGGACAACATGGTTGTGTAGCTTTTTTAATTTCTTAATTGTGTGCAGTTTCCATTTGAAATATGTTTTAAGACAGACATAATATACAACTAATTTGTCTATGATCACCTGTTGTATGTTTGATAAATTCAGTATGTATTACTGATACTTCCCAACCAATGTATAAAAGCTATTGTAAGCATGGAACATTGTTGCATAACGAATGGATGGTACACTGTATATACAAAAGTATGTGGACACCCCTTCAAATTTATGGATTCGGCAATTTCAGCCACACCCGTTGCTGACAGGTGTATAAAATCGAGCACACCGCCATGCAATCTCCATAGACAAACATTTGCAGTAGAATGGCCTTACTGAAGAGCTCAGTGACTTTCAACGTGGCGCCGTCATAGGATGCCACCTTTCCAACAAGTCAGTTTATCAAATTTCTGCCCTGCTGCCCCGGTCAACTGTAAGTGCTGTTATTGTGAAGTGGAAACGTCTAGGAGCAACAACGGCTCAGCCGCGAAGTGGTAGGCCACACAAGCTCACAGAAAGGGAAGGCAGAGTGCTGAAGCGCATAAATATTGTCTCCTCGGTTGCAACATTCACAACTGAGTTCCAAACTGCCTCTGAAAGCAACGTCCGCACAATAACTGTTCATCGGGAGCTTCATGAAATGGGTTTCCATGGCTGAGCAGCCGCACACAAGCCTAAGATCACCATGCGCAATGCCAAGTGTTGGCTGGAGTGGTGTAAAGCTCGCCACCATTGGATTCTGGAGCAGTGGAAACACCTTCTCTGGAGTGATGAATCACGCTTCACCATCTGGCAGTCTGACTGACGAATCTGGGTTTGGCATTGTGCCAACTGTAAAGTTTGGAGGAGGAATAACGGTCTGGGGCTGTTTTTCATGGTTTGGGCTAGGTCCCTTAGTTCCAGTGAAGGAAAATCTTAACGCTACATCATACAATGACATTCTAGATGATTTTGTGCTTCCAACTTTGTGGCAACAGTTTGGGGAAGGCCCTTTCCTGTTTCAGCATGACAATGCCCCTGTGCACAAAGCGAGGTCCATACAGAAATGGTTTGTCGAGATTGGTGTGGAAGAACTTGACTGGCCTGCACAGAGCCCTGACCTCAACCCCATCAAACACCTTTGGGATGAATTGGAACGCCGACTGTGAGCCAGACCTAATCGCCCAACATCCGTGCCCGACCTCACTAATGCTCTTGTGGCTGAATGCAAGTTAAAAAAAAAAAGATTTTAAAAAAATGTCCCCGCAGCAATGTTCCAACATCTAGTGGAAAGCCTTCCCAGAAGATTGGAGGCTGTTATAGCAGCAAAGGGGGGACCAACTCCATATTAATGCCCATGATTTTGGAATGAAATGTTCGACGAGCAGGTGTCCACATACTTTTGGTCATGTATGTGTGAGTGCCACCAGCATTGTTTCCTAGTTTGATAATAATGACACGGTTTGTATGAGCTTTTCTCTGACCTTGAATGAGCTTGTTAAATACTAGCCCATTCAATAGACGGTAATGTTAAACATTATGCTGTCTTCCACCTTAGGGGAATTCTCTGACGCTGCCCAAATGCTCTGTCTAAATGCAACTACGCCCTGCACACAATAGTTTTGGAAACATTTGCAACCTAACTTTCATATAAGCGAGAAATCATTTTTCAAATACAAAACATACAATGAATGTACGCAGTTTAGGAAAGTTGCACCCGGCTGTATTTTGAGAAACACTGGAAATGTGGAATGGCATGTGTCGTAGCCGGCTGCAACTTTGCTAAACTGCGCAAAGTAAGTGTACCTTTTGTATTTGAAAGAATATTCCTTGCTTGTATGAAAGTTAAGTTCCAAAGGTTTCCAAAACCGCATTGCAAGTGAAGCGTATTTGCGTTTAGACAGAGTGTCGGGATTGTAGTTCACATGGAGGCAGCAGTGGTCCGTACCATTAACTGAAAACCCAAAAGGGGGGCTGGCTATACTTCTCGAGAGCTAGTTAAAAATATGTATATTTGGCTGAGTTTACACAGGCAGCCCAATTCTGATCTTTTGCCCAATTATTGGCAAAATATCTGATCTGATTGGTCAAAAGACCCATTATTGGCAAAATATCACATTTAGGCTGCACGTGTAAACTAAGCCATTCATTCCTGAGGTTTATGAAATGCTCTATGACTCACTGTCCAGTTTCTCTGATTAAATACTCTTTCCTTAACATAATTTGGGGATTTCTTCTGGTGACCTTGTTCCAAATAATTCACTGGTTTACATGTTTGTGCCGTACAAGGTAATATTGATTCACTAATCAATGGGTATGTAAGTTACCGATAGACACACACTCACATTCTGCTAAACTGAAATCGCATGACAATTGACTGAGGGAATGGTCTGCCTGTAATGGGTCCTTTATGAATGCAACAATCATACCAAACATTTCTCAATGACTTCCTGCTGAAGTCTTACTCTAACTGATATCTTTATATTTTCTGAAGTGTATGTTTTCATAATGTAGTTTTCTTTCATAGTGGGGATGAAATACAAACATGTTTTCAGGGGAAATGATTCATTCATGGACAGTTTATTCAAATAACATTTTCCATTCAACTTGCATTCCAATCATTCTGGACAACACTGCTGCAGCTAAATAATATGAAAGATGATCAAAAACAAATGTTCTCAGCACACTACCTAAATTAGATGAAATATAAACGAGGGATTTGTGATAATGTACAATACTGTAAAATCAATAAGCAATAACTGTTGAAATCCAAAGTCTTAGTATCAAAACTATACTAGTAAGGAAGAAAATGAAATTGATCTCCATGAATGTAAATAAAATGCATGTAAGATTAGATGTCCATAGAAAAACTGGCAACGGTTTTTGCTGACGACATGACGGTGGTAGGCCTGATCACCGACGATGATGAGACCGCCTATAAAGAGGTCAGTGACCTGGTAGTGTGGTGCCAGAACAACAACCTTGCCCTCAACGTCAGAAAGATAAAGAAGCTGATCGTGGACTACAGGAAACGGAGGGGTGAGCATGCCCCCATCCACATCGACGGGGCTGTAGTGGAGTGGGTTGAGAGCTTCAAGTTCCTTGGTGTCCACATCACTAAGGAATTAACATGGTCCACACACACCAACACAGGTCGTGAAGGCAAAACAACGCCTCGTTCTCCTCAAGAGGCTGAAAAGATTTGGCATGGGCCTTCAGATCCTCAAAGTTCTACAGCTGCACTAACTCTTTTGACTCATCACATACACTGCTGCTACTGTTTTATCTATCCTGTTGCCTAGTCACTTTATGTACATATCTACCTCAATTACTTCGTACCCCTGCACATCGACTCGGTACTGGTACCCCGTGTATATAGCCAAGTTATCGTTACTCATGTATTTATTCCTTGTCTTATTAGTTTTCTATATTTTTCTCTGCATTGTTAGGAAGAGCCCATAAGTAAGCATTTCACTGTTTACGAAGCATGTGACAAATACAATTTGAGGTACATACAGTATTTTAACTTGTTCAATCATATCCACCTACTTATCACCCATCTTTTAATTACAATTAGCCAAGTTATTGGATCACTGAAATTCTGGTATGATAAAAAAACTATTCTTTACAAACTATTAGTGGTAGTGAGCATAATATGTCATGCAGGACATACACATAGGATACCAACTCAACTATTTATTGAACATTCCTTATCTCTTGTCGTTCTGTGCAGGTGTTAAAACATGGAGTCCATTACATAATGATAACTTATTAATTACGGTATGTTCAGAACAAATATTGCAAGGCCAGCAAGTTATATAGAATTCTCAGCTACCAGCACCTCTAATAAACAGTAAGAAATCACAAATGCCTTAATTTCTGCTTATATTTCTCCCTCTGTACAATAAAGTAGTGACAGTAGACCTTGAACTTCATCAAATAAAAATACTTCATAAATTACTCTGCTTTGTATCAACATTGATGTTATAAATATGAATATATTATGTATATTCCTAATCCCATTCAGGTCAGTTGATTAAAGTGACTTGCTTTTAAAGTATCACATTTGGGGTCATATCTCTGGATAAGGTCCTCAATACATTTTGAATGGAATCAAATATATTTTCACTGTTAAGGCAGCTCATCTCAACCTTGGTTTCAGTCACAGTGTAAGAAACACTTTCTACAAAAAAAGGGTACTTTGAGTGTGTAACATGAATTGGAAATGAAACTTTGTAAATATATATGTTGTAATAATATAATGTAATGTTTTAAGATATATATCAATCAAAGATGGCACAGATTGAAATTATAATAATACCCTTCTTCAGTACCCTCTTTACATCAATGAGTCCAGAGACCAACATACCCAGTGGATTATCATCCACTGACACTAGCCAGTACTTGCATACAGTATTTGAGAGAGCATGAGTGTTGATAAGCCTGTGTGTGTCTTCCTAGCTCCAGTTCTTTATAGGTTGTAGGCCCTACATTATATCAACAGCAGGAAGCACTGGAGCGGGGCTTTCTGTGGAGGTTAACTGTGTCTGTGGGGATGAGGTGGTCTGCCCTTTCCTCCATGGCTAGCACATTCCGCACCGCCTCCTCAAAGGCTATAGCTACGTTGGTGGAATCCTTGGCACTGGTCTCATAGTAAGGGTGATTGCCGTTATCCCGACACCACTGTTGAGCATCCTCAGTAGACACCTGCCTCTCCGTCACATCCACCTTGTTCCCCAGCACCACGAAGGGGAACTTCTCGGGCTCCTTGACGTCGGCGTAGTAGATGAACTCCTTCTTCCAGTTGGCCAGGTTGTGGAAGCTCTGGTTGTCGTCCACGCTGAAGGTGAGCAGGCAGCAGTCGGAGCCGCGGTAGAAGGGAGTCCTGAGGCTGCGGAAACGCTCCTGTCCAGCCGTGTCCCAGATCTGCATGGTGACCAGACGGCTGTCTACCTCCAGGTCCTTGTTGAGGAACTCCACGCCGATGGTGTGGAAGAGGTGCGTATCAAACTTGTTGGTGACGTAGCGGTTCATGAGGGAGCTCTTCCCCACTCCTCCATCTCCCAGCAGGATGACTTTCAGCAGGGATGACTTAGCGGTCATGGCTCTTAAATGACAGTGGACTCTTCCTCTGGAGAATAGGACCTGGGGGACAGCAATGTGTAACTAACAACTGTAGCAAAATAGCCTTCAAGTTTCTCAAACCTGTTTTTCCACCTAAAGAGTATATGTCTAGGCGCTACTTACCTTTACTGCTCAGTGTAGATATTCTGAAACCTATGGAAAACACTTGCATGTTAGCAGTTTATCTTACAGCAATTCAACACTAGTCAAAAATCCCCACACAAATTGGGAGAAGGGGAATGTGGTTAACCTTGCCGGAAGAGACTTGACTTACCCGTGAGTTAGTGAAGCCTCCTACGGTCTCTGCTGGCCCGGATCAAGTGTTACAGACAGTGGCCGGGTCCTTAGTCACGTGTCGGTCATTATAATGTGAAGAGTAGTCAACATTAAACCAGCTGGAATGAAATATTAGCAAGCAATGTGTTGACTGAACCTTCAAGTATAACTACATAACATAAACATTCAGTGCAGTGACTGCACAGCTGTCTGTATTACCGGCCCTTTTACAAAAGATACTGATAACGTTACATAGCTAAACTGACATGTCATTACTACTGTTAGTTAACAGTAGCTAACAAGTGAAATTGCTAAATAGTTAGCTAGCTAACGTTAGTTCGTCTTGTATAGCTAGCTAGCTAAACAGCTAGGTAATTATGATACGGGAAAAAATCATGGTGAAATATTGTTTGTAACTAACTTATAACAAATAGGGCACAACGCCCTCACAACAGTCTGAAGTTGGATGACAATCAATATTTAGCTAGCTTTGTTATGCTAGTTAGCCTAGCTAGCCATCAAGCCTGCTGAAAACTATTTAGCTAACGTTAGCTAGCTAGCTAAACCTTCAGACACTTAGTTACCTTACGGTTGGCAAGTTTTGAAGAACACATCCGAGGACTGTGATGGTTGATAGCTTTTTTCTAGTTGTCTATTGTTTGGCTTCGATGGCAGTTAGCTAACTAGCTGGCTCTCACTCGATCAACACTGATGGCTGCGTCGGCGGCCTAGCCTCTGTTTCCACTCATGTGACCTAAGAAGTCTCGAGCTTTTTACAATACTGTCAAATATTCTCGAGTCTCATCACTCAGTTTGCAATTGCAGATTATTTATAATAAAAAGCCATTTTAAACAAATACAACTATACTGGTGACTGTTTTAACCATAGAGATTGATAGAGGACTCATCTTTGTATCTGTGCCATTATAGCGTCTATGACAGCAATGAGGCTATCTCCATGTTAAAGTAATTGACATTTTAGTCATTTTAGCAGATGCTCTTATCCAGAGCGATTTACAGTTAGTGAGTGCATACAGTTTTCTTCTTTACCATTGGCTAATCCTTCCTGATGACCCAGTTGGACATGACTCCAACAGGGTCACCAGGTGGGATCTGCCAATAAAGTTGGAAGTCCCAGCCATTTGGCTATATTAAAGTGGTGGAAGCCCTCAATGCAAGGGGCCCGGGTTCCTAGAAGCACGGTTTCGGCTGCTACAGTTTTGCTTAGGTACTGCTGTTTAACTGACGCCCGGCCCAGAAATACAATTTCCATACATGCCCACATAGAGAAGTCAGATTAGAATATTCCTAATAAGACACTTTAGTCAATACCTTTGTGCACAAAACATCCATTGAATTATTCAAATAATTGTTGCGGAGGACACATTTTTTTTCTTCACTCCCAGCCGAAGATATTAACATTTTATATTCATCCAATGTCTGCCATGTTTTTAGATGACATGATGACTTCTTCGCTGCTCCCGCTGCTCCCTGTGCGCACTGAGTGCTACCCGGATATAGACGGTCCATGAATCGGCTTATGCAAACGTGAGTAGATTACCTTGAAAACATCTTGGACGAGGTCTCCAGTTCTTATTATATCTCAGTGCCTCAATGGCGCTGCCCATGCTAAAATAGCCTTTTGGCCGCTAGAGGCCTCTATCATTTTCTATGGTTTTAGACAGTAAATAGCTAGCTAGCTGCAGTATTCAATCAACACCACTTCGGATTCTTACAGAAACAGAGCCACCAGAGGGCGACAAAACACATGGTAGATAGGACTAGACCAGACTACCAACATCTAGCTGCTTTTTGCATAATCTTTGACCGGTGACCAGAGGACAGACGAAGTTAAATATAAAGCATTAGCCTGGCATGGACTAAGATACAGAATAATATTATAGAATAGAATGCAGTATATACATATGAAATGAGTAGTGCAAGATATGTAAACATTATTAAAGTGACTAGTGTTCCATTTCGTAAAGTGGCCAGTGATTTCAATAGGCAGCAGCAGCCTATAATGTGCTAGTGATGGCTATTTAACAGTCTGATGGCCTTGAGATAGAAGATGTTTTTCATTCTCTCGGTCCCAGCTTTGATGCACCTGTACTGACCTCGCCTTCTGGATGATAGCGGGGTGAACAGGCAGTGGCTCGGGTGGTTGATGTCCTTGATGATCTTTTTGGCCTTCCTGCTGTATGTGTCTTGGAGAGCGGGTAGTTTGCCCCCGGTAATGCGTTCGGCAGACCGCACCACCCTCTGGAGAGCCCTGCGGTTGTGGGCGGTGCAGTTGCCGTACCAGGCGGTGATATAGCCTGACAGGATGCTCTCAATTGTGCATCTGTAAAAGTTTGTGAGGGTTTTAGGTGCCAAGCCGAATTTCTTCAGCCTCCTGAGGTTGAAGAGGCTCTGTTGCGCCTTCTTCACCACACTGTCTGCGTGGGTGGACCATTTCAGTTTGTTAGTGATGTGTACGCCAACTCCCTGCTATATCGCACAGTTCTGGCTTGATCTGATTTATCTCTAGAGAAACTGCATCCAGCTCACAGATTTTTTTTAAAGAAATGGAATTAAAATAATTGAACCGTCATCAATAATTAGTTGCTTAAAAACCTAAAAATAACAGACATTTCGGTTAATCGCTCAGCAATATCTAGCAGTAATGACAGATCAAGCTTGAAGGTGTGTGAGAGGTTGTGACAGTCTTAGTATACAGTGCCTCATAGACTCAGAGTGACAAGCAGCTGGTGACCGCAAGCAAAGACCATGAGAATGAAATATGGACAGAGTCCTTATAAAAACATTTTTTATGTATTACGATATGAAAGCACAATTTACAGCAGTTTATTCATTGTTACATACACATAATATGATCTTAAAACCCAGTAACCTTCAAGTGAAGGCTTCTTGATTAATCTAATATTCATATTTTGATTTCACATAACTACACGTCTTAGTATATCTTATTTATTTCTATATTGCAGCTAACTGCAATATTTCACTATCACTTAGAAAATGAAAAAGCAACACAATATTGTTTTTTGTAGACAAGCCTGCCATATCCTCACATATAAAAACCAGATATTTAATGTGAAAATATTTGAATAACATTAAAAGTATTTGTGAATATCGAAAACCGCACTGTATATATGTATCGGATCATTTATTTGTGGACATTACTCTTTGTCTTGGTGGCTCAAATTAAAGGAAAAGTTCAAAAGCAGAGTCTTGTAAACTTGCAGAAATCCCTCCACATACTATTGCTCAAACCCTTGTGCAACACTTTCCTATGTGGACGGCTGAACAATACTTGTTGCACATACAGTACAGCAAAAAAATACACCCTTAGTTTGGGATTATGAAGATGTGTGTGTGTGTGCTCTCTGAAAAGAGCAGACTAAAGGTAGATACTTCTGCTAGCTCTGCCTTTGAGGTGTGTGTCAAACACAGTGGACTGATTCTACAGGTTCACTGAGTTGAGCAGTTTAAAAGATGGCAGCATCTTCCTCTTGACAGGAGCCTGAGGTCAGCACCACGTTGTCCAGCCCAATCTCTCCCCTAACTCCATTCCCACGCTCAGCTTCAAAGATGATCTGCAGAATGAGAGCAAAGATGTTGATGAGATGTTCTGGAAATTGGTACTGATTAAATTAACAACCTCTCTAAACATTGTGCTAGTAAATACGGCATACATAGAACATACAGTGCATTCGGAAAGTATTCAGACCCCTTGACTTTTTCCACATTTTGTTACGTTACAGCCTTATTCTAAAATTGATTAATTTGTTTTTTCCCCTCATCAAAGACACAGCAAAAAAGGTTTTTAGACATTTTAGCAAATTTATTTTAAAAATCCCAAAAGAAATATCACATTTACATAAGTATTTCGACCAGGGTTCTTCAATTCCGGTCCTGGAGGGCCGAAACACCTCTGTTTTTCATCCTCTCCTTCTAATCAGGGGCTAATTCAGACCTGGGACACCAGGTGAGTGCAATTAACTACCAGGACCAGAATTGAAGAACCCTGATTTAGACCCTTTACTCAGTACATTGTTGAAGCACCTTCGGCAGTGATTACAGCCTCAAGTCTTTTTGGGTATGACGCTACAAGCTTGGCACACCTGTATTTGGGGAGTTTCTCCATCGAGTTCTTGGTCACCTCCCTGACCAAGGCCCTTCTCCCCCGATTGCTCAGTTTGGCTGGGCAGCCAGCTCTAGGAAGAGTCTTGGTGGTTCCAAACTTCTTCCACTTAAGAATGATGAAGGCCACTGTGTTCTTGGGGACCTTCAATGCTGCAGAAACTTTTTGGTACCCTTCCCCAGATCTGTGCCTCGACACAATCCTGTCTTGGAGTTCTACGGACAATTCCTTCGAACCTCATGGCTTGGTTTTTGCTCTGACATGCACTGTCAACTGTGGGACCTTATTTAGACAGGTGTGTGCCTTTCCAAATCATGACAAGTGGACTCTCATAGAAAAGGGTCTGAATACTTATGTAAATAAGGTATTTCTGTTTTTGTTTTTTTATAAATTTGCAAACATTTATAAAAACCTGTTTTCACTTTGTCATTATGGGGTATTGTGTGTAGATTGATGAGGAAAACAATTAATTTCATCCATTTTAGAATAAGGCTGTAATGTAACAAAATGTGGAAGAAGGGAAGGGGTCTGAATACTTTCTGAATGCACTGTACTATTATCTACTGACACTGGCATCATTCTATGGGTCCTTTATTATTCTAAGCGTTTGAATGGAATTGTGACTCACAGATTCTGGGGCCTGGTTCTTCCAGGCTACAGTGAGCAGTTCTGTCTGCCAGTCCTGGTCTCGGCTGCGGCTCTGCTCCCACACCGGGTAGGCATTGTTGTTCAGGAGCACCCGCAGCGAGCCCACCTGGTTGCCCGTGACGCGATAGTTGAAAGTGAGGCAGAAGCTTCCCTGCTGGGCCCGGTCACTGATGAGTAGCTTTAGCCTGGCCTGGTCCTTCTTCTCCCCCAGAAGACCACTCATAGCCATGTAATACTCCATACCTGGGGGTTAGGGACCAGGGAGTGGACACAGGCTGATCAGTGATAGTCGTTAACATATGACTAGCAGCTATTTGGGAATACATAGATTAAGCACAGCAAAGAGCAATTTCTGGAAGATAGATTCAGATGATCATGTGGACAATAACATATTTACCTTATCAGTCAATGTATAAAACTATATGCATCTACATGGCAAATATAGGAGGTAAAATACTATTCATGCCCTATTAACAGTATGATTTGTACCATTTTCATGGTAGGACACGCTCCAGTCGAAGTTATCGTCCTTGTCCTGCACCCACTCACACGCGCCCTGATCGAAGTTGCAGTCCATGAAGAACTCTGGAAGGCACATTCAGATGTCAACGATACACAGTAATTACCCACATCATGTCAACAAGTAAACCAAGGATTACCTTCCTGTGCTGGAGTTATTTCGATCTCTTTGACTTCCGTTTCAGGACCAAATACTGACTCAAAGTCCTCTGGAACTGCTTTGGGAGAGAGATAACTCTGTTATAATATGGTCCATCAAATGTCAAGATAATGTAGTTCACTTTCACAAAAAGCACAAAGAAACAAGACATAAGACAAGACATATTGAAACAGGATATTAACCGCCTTGATAATTGTGTATGTATAACATTGTCTAAACAGTTATACATTCTTAATTTAGCTCTATCAAAACAAGTCATTTCAGTTACAAGCATTCTTCTTAAGAAATGTGATCCCTGAAGATCATCCAGATGATTATGCAGTTGAGAGATTTCCCCTCATAAAACAAAAGCCAGTCAGGGAAGTGGAAGCCTGCAAGTGGAAGCCTGCCCTGTTGACATTTATCTCTCAAGATGGTGCATTTCAATCGTAGGATATTATAACTGAAGCATCTTAAAGCTCTCCCAACAAACTTCCCCCTTCACTGAGTTGCTCTAGACAACCAGATGTACAGCGGCTTTGCTAAGTGAACCTGCCCAGCCAGAGAGGGCTGGTGTGTGAGGGGATTTGAGGAGCTGATGACAGACTCTCTCTGTCAGGGAGTCAGATCTGTTTGCTCAACAGCTGTTCTGGGGGACGATAATAAAAGGCTTGGAGTCTCTGCATCCCTTCCTCCCCCTCTTCCTAGTGGATGGGGAGTGTAGGCGCAGGGAGAGCTGAGTGTATCCCAAGGCGCTCACATGGCGGCAGAGTGAAATTCCTCCATGGAGCTGATGAATGTCTCGGGGCCTGTCTCCTCTTGCTATTTGAGTCGTCCTGACGAAGGCTCAGGCTGCTGTCTGACTTGTTTCCTTAAAGAGATCAACACTAGCAGCAAAACGCAGCCTTGTTACTGTCTCACTGAGAGGCATACCATCACATGTGTGATCCTTTGCCCACACTCAAATGGGTTTTCATCTTAAGATGGAGAGCCAATAATAATAATAATAATCCTATCCATTTTAGCCAAATAGCTACAGAGGCAACTTCTGTGCATGTGTTCTATCCCAAGAGCTATAAGCTCCACTGTCTTTGAGGCCATATGTTGTCTCTGAGCAAAATGATTGATTTGGCTTGAAAGGCATATTTCATTGCTTTTATGCATCCTGGCCTGATTATACTCATCTCAGCAGTGAACGGCTCATAATAATGGCTTGAACAGAGCAAATGGAATGGCATCAAACCATGTGTTTGATGTATTTGATACCATTCCACTGATTCCGCTCCAGACATTACCACCAGCCCGTCCTCCCCAATTAAGGTGCCACCAACCTCCTGTGCTCCTCATGATATTTCTTTCCCACAACTCAAATGAAATGACCTTCTCTCAAGGGTTTCTATTTGCTTTTCAACCTTCAGTTTCAGCCCATGGCCAGAGAAGGTTAGAGAAGTGGTTGTGTGTGACAGTTTGACTGATGGCCTCAGTGCGTCCACCTCTTTCCCAGGCCTGGCTGTGTGGGATTGTCACACTGGTATTCAGCACAGCTGTTTTTCTGTCCTTAGTCTCCTTTCAAAGGTCAATCGCAAATGACATGGGTGAAACAGAACACTCTTTCAAACACTAGGACCAGATCTGGTTTATTACATCAACCTACATGCATAGAGCATGTATTGAACTATACACAGCATTTAACACACAGCATTTAACAGTAACTTAGTTCAACTTCATGGTTGAATATATTCACTCTCTTGCTACATTTGATTTACAGCTTATTTAGAGCTGGAGGTAACACATAACACTGTAAGAGCTCTTCTAGTGTAAGCTAATGTGTTGTTGTATTGTCCTCCAACCACATGATCTATTTATACCTCACAGGATGTGTTGTATTTACAGCATGTGAATCTAATATGTGAAACAGAGGCCATTCTCTGCTTACCAGGGTTGGGCTGAATTAAACATTTTGGATTTGACTCCCATTCAACTCATGAGTTGAAATTCAAATTTAATTGGACGTACCCCACAGGATGTACTGTAGAATTAGAGTTAGAGTGACAGGAAGTAGAATTGAATTCAGTGCAATTCAAATAAATTCCACTCATTCATAGAACATGAGAGTTTAATTTAATCTGACAGGTCATACTGCCAGATACCAAAGAATATATCACTTTTCTCTGAAAACAATGTTCATATACTCTTTTAACTTTAGTGCTTACAATAGCCAATTATATTTCCACCAACCATTTCATTTGTTTGGCATCTTTTTGAAGTCAATTTGAGGGGTAAACTAATGCACACAATTTAAGTGATTAATTAAATATAATAACTTAGAATATTTGCATACAGGTTTTGTTTTGTTTTCCTTGATCATTCATTTCAACAGTTTCCCCATAAACTATATGCATGTATATAATGACATGTTTGATGTTTTATGTACAATATTTATATTTAGACTACACCTAATAATAGAAGAGGCATTTGAATTTCTGTGAATTTCACTGAATTAAATTATATTTATTTTAATTCAAATTCCAATTGTAATTCTGTATCCCGTTTACTACTTCAATGCAAATTCAATTCAAATTCAAGAATTGAATTAGAATTTATGAGGCATTCTCAATTAAATTTGAGCCCAACCCTGCTGCTTTTTTCTTCTGCTTACTGAGAATGAGCTTTTCAATCTAAGCCATAGACCTACTCAGTGCCCAGAACATGAAGCAACAGGTTGGATCCTGACACACACTCAGGTCCAGGGCTTAGAACTGACCTTTTATTGTGGAATGGTAATCCTCAAGCTTACACTGCCTGACAGACTGACATCACATTGCAGCTTTGAGATGTCTTAAACAAGGTTAGCGTCAGAAGGGACTCAATCCATGCGTTTAGTCCAGCTAACCATGGATCTTTAAAGGAATCCAAAGCACTCCTCAGTCCTCGCTTTCTCTGAATAAAACTGTGAAGTGACAGTGGCTCATCTGACTCCTATAGATAAAAATAGAAGCTCAGGTGTTGTTTATACATAGTTTCCAAGATATGTGTGCATGCATATGTGTGTATATCAAGTATAACTGTGTTTGATAAGCGATATAGGTTTTATTGTGTACCTCAGGTTTATGTCAAAGACACCTAATAAATAGTACCCTTCATTTTAACAACTACGATGAATTTAATTAAACAACTCCCTGGCAGTTGACAAGAGATACATAGGACAGATAGATAAGACTAGACTTCCTTCAAGCATGGCCAAGAAGCCTGAGGCCAGCCGGCCGGAGAAATGTGCAGTCAGGTTTGGGGGGCCTGTAATTAGGCCAGACCTTAAACTCCATACATTCCCCCTGTCCAGAGAGGATATATTGTAGGTCTGTGTGAAGGCAAGGGGGTAGCTAATAGAAAGAGTAGACAGATGGGCAGCTTGGTCATAGGGTCGTTGTAGGCTACGCTAACCCTCACACAACAGAGCATAGAGCAATAACCCTGTGATATATGTCCTAAATTTGACTTGTAGAGATGTGTTTGAGAGCGTCCTGTTCAGTGTTATATGAGGCCATAGAAAATGTGTAAACCTAAATATGACTGAGTGAAAAGAAGAGTATACATCACAAAGTTCTTGCCATTTTGATTTAGCTGAAGCAACTAGGGGATTGTATTTCTGAATAACTACGAGTTCTGCACACTACCACAGCAGTAATGGTGTGTGAAAGTCCATATTATCAGCGTTAGTGTAATCATATTTGGGACCACCCACGATGGCAATAAATAGGGGGATTGGTGGGAAGGAGTTAGAGGGAAAGGAGGCTTACTGAAAACATCTCCTCTTGGATTGAGTTGGTTGTCCACATCTGCCTCCTCTTCCTCTTCTTCCTCCTCCCCTACATTAGTGAAGTCCACCTGGCCCACCTTCTCTGAGCCACCGATGTAGGTCTCGCCATCGTAGTCGAAGGGCTGCATGCGGATCTGAGGGGGGACGGTCACTTGGGGCTCGGGGATGATGTTCTTGATCTGCTCATTGTCCAGCTTTCCTGGCAGTCTGGGTCTCACTGGGGAGTCTGGGATAGCTGCAGGAAGAAGAACCAGGTCAGACCTCTGGAACTACAATCACAGGTGGAATCTGATGCAGTTATACCAGAGCTTAGGCAAAAATCCTGAGGTTATACAGCCATTATACACTACCCATCAAAAGTTTTAGAACACCTACTCATTCAAGGGTTTTTCTTTAATTTGACTATTTTCTACATTGTAGAATAATAATGAAGACATCAAAACTATGAAATAACACATATGGAATCATGTAGTAACCAAAAAATGGTTAAACAAATCAAAATATTACTTTAAGACATGTCAATACGGAAAATGTCAAGAACTTTGAAAGTTTCTTTAAGTGAAGTAGCAAAAACCATTAACCGCTATGATGAAACTGGCTCTCATGAGGACCGCCACAGGAATGGAAGACCCAGAGTTACCTCTGCTGCAGAGGATAAGTTCATTAGAGTTACCAGCCTCAGTATGCTTCACAGAGTTCAAATAACAGACACATCTCAACATCAACTGTTCAGAGGGGACTGTGTGAATCAGGCCTTCATGGTTGAATAGCTGCAAAGAAATCACTACTAAAGGACACCAATAATAAGAAGAGACTTGCATGGGCCAAGAAACACGAGCAACGGACATTAGACCAGTGGAAATGTGGAGTCCAAATTTGAGATTTTTTGTTCCAACCGCTGTGTCTTTGTGAGACGCAATGTGGGTGAACGGATGATCTCCGCATGTGTATTTCCCACCGTAAAGCATGGAGGAGGAGGTGTTATGGTGTGGGGATGCTTTGCTGGTGACACTGTCTGTGATTTATTTAGAATTCAAGGTACACCTAACCAGCATGGCTACCACAGCATTCTGCATCGATACGCCATCCCATCTGGTTTGGGCTTAGTGTGAGTATCATTTGTTTTTCAACAGGACAATGACCCAACACACCTCCAGGATGTGTAAGGGCTATTTTACCAAGAAGGAGAGTGATGGAGTGCTGCCTCAGATGACCTGGCCTCCACAATCCCCCGACCTCAACCAAATTGAGATGGTTTGGGATGAGTCGGACAGCAGAGTGAAGGAAAAGCAACCAACAAGTGCTCATCATATGTGGGAACTCCTTCAAGATTATTGGAAAAGCATTCCAGGTGAAGCTGGTTGAGAGAACGCCAAGAGTGTGCAAAGCTGTCATCAAGGCAAAGGGTGGCTATTTGAAGAATCTCACATATAAAATATATTTTGATTTGTTTAACACTTTTTTGGTTACTACATGATTCCATATGTGTTCTTTCATAGTTTTGATGTCTTCACTATTATTCTACAATGTAGAAAATAGTAAAAATAAAGAAAAACCCTTGAATGAGTAGGTGTTCTAAAACTTTTGACCGGTAGTGTAGATTATAAAGCCATTATAGTTTTTAAAGCCGAAACATGTCAGAGAGTATGTCATGGGAATTTGTTCTAAATCACTGAATGGATGGACAAAAAAAAGTTGCTTTTACAGCTTTTTCTTTTTTTTGTTTGTTACATGTACACACATTTTACAGACATGGCGCTTCTCTCTTTCGTTCCAAATCTCCCAACAGTGGTATTTGTAGGGTTAATTTTAGGTAAATGTTGTGATTTTTTCAGTCATTCCTGAACCTGTGACCAGAAACAAGCTACATAGGGGCAGCACCAGAATAAGTAATCTATTGATTCTGTCTCTTTGCAGCAAAATCTGCAGAGCTGAGATGGTTGTATGCCCCTTATACATAACATTCTGTTGGTGGCATAATAAATTAAATAGAAAAACTCTACGTTTTGAATCAAGCTTTGTTTTGTGTTTAAATTCATAAACCATGTGCTATGGAATCGGCACACTGAAAATCTCTTCCCAATTATTTTGCAACCTCTATGGTGCAGCTGTCAACATTTTGGTCCTCAAATGAAACTGGTATATATTTCTATTTATGCCAATTTTGGTCTTTAATAAAGGGCAGACAAACAAGTTCCCTACCTTCTCCCCCTTTCACTTGCCTTCTCCATTTTTGCTGTAATGCTGCAATCAGTTGGTTGTAATTTTGGATAGAGCAAACATTTCCATATATTTTTGTTAGCTGCACATGTGACATAACTCCACCTTTCCTATTCATAATATCATTAACAAAGATAATTTGAAAAAGGTGATATTTTGAAAAAGGTTCAATTTTGAATTAACTGAAAGGGAGATGTTGTCATCTGGATAAAGGGAAAAAGGCAATTTTGTAACAAGGGATGAGACATTCTTACTAATCTACTGGAGAACCAGTTCAGGTTTAAGTATAACTTTTGTATGACATGCTTGTATGACATGCTTTAATATTTAGCCCCCCAAACTCATATTCATTATATAAATAAGCCTGTTTCATTTTGTCTGGCTTGCCGTTCCAAATAAAGTGAAGTATTTTTTTGCTCCTATAATTTAAAAAACAAATAGTTCGGCGTAGCCATATGTAAATTGGTAAACTGGGATATGACTAAATCATTCATCAGACTTACCTTGTTCATTGAAATACATTCATTTTCTTTTGTGTAAACATGTTGTCATAGACATGACAGATGAGCACAGAGGGTAGGACGACAGACAGGAATGTCATACTCCATGCATGGGTGCATGACAGCCAGCTTCAGCCATATATACTGTATGTACTTGCAAAGTGTAAAATGGTTTCATGCTGACTTCTACATGGCAGATCAAGCTGTGTGTGGTGCGGATAGGACCTAGCCAGCCTTAAGCCATGAGAGAGGGAAGGGAGGGGAGGGGGAGTTCATAAAGCAACAGTGGTAGGCGGGGGGGGGGGGGGGGGGGGGGGGGGGGGGGGAGGTGCGAACAGAGGAAGTGGAGAGCCTTGTTGCATTCCATACACATCTCACCATTGAGGAAATTATCATCTGTACTGCCTTTGTCTCCCTGGTCCCACGAGCTTTGATAAAAGGGCTTGACTACAAAAAGATAAAGGCATCTTCGTTTACACAAAGCCTCAGCGCACCTATCATGTCACCTAGGCTACATCAGCTAGTGTCAACTGCCTGGTTCAGAGAGTGCACTGTGGCCCCTCTGCTACTCACAGACAGACAGACAGACAGACAGACAGACAGACAGACAGACAGACAGACAGACAGACAGACAGACAGACAGACAGACAGACAGACAGACAGACAGACAGACAGACAGACAGACAGACAGACAGACAGACAGACAGACAGACAGACAGACAGACAGACAGACAGACAGACAGACAGACAGACAGACAGACAGACAGAGACAGACAGACAGACAGACAGACATGCCTCTCCTTTCCTCTGTCCTTCAGATGGCTGGGTTCGGTAGAACAGCAGATATTTACACAGGTGTAATTTGAATCAAGGGCTCTCCCTGAGTAACATCTGTAGAGTGCAGAAGTTGTCTGAAAACAGGAAACTGGCTTTGGCAGTGTTGATGTTTGCTGATGTTTTAAGAGTACAGTTGAAATATGCTATCATAAAATAACTGTCTGAGAGACTTTTTACTCTTGTATCGATATAAGATCTGAATATTGTATATGCAGTCTGGGAAAAAAACACTGTCCGATTGTGGCCCCCTTGCACATCAACAACATTTCTATCAAATGTTTTTTACTCTAAGAATGTTTTGATGATTGATGAATAGTAAATCTGTTCAGTTCTCACCAGAGCATTCGAAGCCACTGCCACGGAAGCCTTGTTTGCACTTGCACTTGTAGGATCCCTGAGTGTTCAGACAGACTGCATGGTGGCTGCACTTGTGTGTGTTGTCCGCACACTCGTCATTGTCTGAAAAATACATTTACTGATTTGATATCTCCTCACAGATTTTTTAAAAGCAAATTGTTGTATATATGAAATGATTGTATACCTTACCTACACAGTCATATTTTCCATGAACATACTTCAGGTCGTAGCCGTTCTGGCACTTGCAGTAGTAGCTGCCAAACGTGTTGACACACTGTCTGTTGTATTGGCACAGGTTCTTCCCAGTTACACATTCATCAATATCTAAAGGCATAATGAAGGGAGGAAGACAGGGACAGATTTGAATAAACACGAAATGACTGAGTTCTGTTTTCTACATTGTAGCATAGGGTTAAATATTTGGATCAATGTCAACCATCCCTTACTGACACTTTAGTTTAGCACCACAATTGGACACTGGCTCCCACTCAACTCAAGCAGTTTTGTGGTAAGAAACACTACCCCATTCTATCCAACTGGCTGCTACAGATGATTAAGTTCTTATGTGAGAAGCCTTGAGATGGAGCAGGAATGTGAAACCACATAATGGAGTCTTCACAGAGCTTTACAAAGCTCCAAGATGTTGACCCCTTCTATTGTGTTCAGTAGCTGCTAATCTATGAGGTGGAGTGGTCCAGTGAGAACCAGCATGAAGTCCTCATGAAGTGATATAGTGTCAGGGTTGGTGGTCCAAGGTGGTGGTACTCACCCACGCAGGTCCTCTCGTCTGGCCCCAGCTGCAGACCTGCAGACGGGCAGAGACAACGGATCTCCCCCTGTACCTCCTCGCAGCCATACTGACAGTGGGCCAGGGAGCACGTCCTGGAGTCTACACACACACACACACACACACACACACACACACACACACACACACACACACACACACACACACACACACACACACACACACACACACACACACACACACACACACACAGGAAAGAGAACTTCTTAAACACTACAGGTACAGTGTAAAACTAACACTATTCTTGGAGTGAATAGCAGCAGGTAAAGTAGGGGTTACAGTGCCCACTCACTGGAACAGGAGCCATCAGGCATTAGGGTGTAACCGTTGAGGCAGTAGCACATGTAGCTGCCATGGGTGTTCATGCAGCGATGCTCACAGGGACGGGGCTTCAGGCCACACTCATTCAGATCTGGACAGAGAGACAGACAGTCATCCTCAGTTATGTACTTCAGGGATATTTATGGCTATACTATATTAGTTTGTAATCAGAAATAATGCACCTATAAGTCTATTGTGGCTTCGCCAGAGACATCAAACTTGAATATTGTCCCACGGACATCATATCTTACGTGGTCCCAGGGGCAACATATTGAATACATTTTAGGTTTCTCCAGATTAAGTATTCTACATAGGCAGAAAATTAATAGTTTGATATTGAAATATTGAGGCATCTTTAAAGGTGTCAAAACATGATGATCAAGTGATCAATCAGGGGCTTGTGAAATAGAGAGGGATAACTACAGAGACAGGCTACAAATCTGAGCTGCAAGTTGATCTCCATAAACAGACCACTTTGGCTCACATTTCTCTGACCTTTGACCCTCATTCCATTGACTCTAGTTACCCCACTGACCTTGATTGCACGTCTTTCCGGTGTATCCTGGGTAACACTTGCATTTGTTGGGGCCAACACACTCTCCGTGCTTGCAGCCATGTTCACACTGAGCTGGTAAAGCATTCAAGGAAAGAAATACCACCAGCGGCAATAAGAGGGTTTATGCAGGTTCACTGAGGTTCAAACATGCCAGTTTTACTATAACTGAGGTAATTTAGTCCACATTTCTTCTGGTGCAGGAAAATACCCCGCCGCAAAGAATAACAAATGTGAAAACCCATTATTGTGGAGAACAATTAGAATTCTTAAACTTGAGGTTTCCATTCATTGAATATCCATTTACGTAGCCCCATGTAGCTCAGTTGGTAGAGCATGGCACTTGCAACGCCAGGGTTGTGTGTTTGATTCCCATGGGGGACCAGTATGAAAAAATGTATGCACTCACTAACTGTAAGTCGCTCTGGATAAGAGCGTCTGCTAAATGACTAAAATGTCAAATGGACAGTATATGATATTTTCATTCAACGAAACAAAGAAAAAGTTACTTTGATGAGCACAGCTATACAAATACATTTCTAATCACCGTACAAACAAACAACATGACAAGGTCAAATACAGTACATCTTGACTAACCGTAACCACAACTTGTTTTGTTGAGATGCTTACCTTCACATTGTCCTTTGCTGTTCTTTTTCCAGGCATAGCAACACTCTAGTCTCCTGCCATAGCGACACACACCTGGTTGGCCACCGGTGGGGACTTGTCTGCGGTGCCTGTGCACATAAAGGACAGGGAAAATAGGTGACTCACAGCTCTACCCTGTTAGATATTTGGTTCCATTCCTTGAGGGCCAGTTGAATGTGAGTTTATTGACTAAAGCTGCTTGATTAGGAATAACACAATTGGTGAGTAAAGTTTGATCATAATACGATCATGAGTATAACTTTATAATGGATCGCAGAAGAAAACAAATACCCAAATAAACACAACTTGCAGTAAATATGCTGCAAATGGAGAAGAGAATTGGATCACTAAATTAGTGTACCCGCCCCCCCCAAAGACAAACAACCCCAAACAACCCCAAACAGGTACTCCAAAGCACCCCAAACAACCCCAGGTACCCCAAAATACACCAAGCAACCCCAAACAACCCCAAACAGGTACCCCAAAGTACTCCAAACAACCCCAAATAGGTACCTGAAAGTACCCCCAACTTTTATAGATCTGACCCAGGAGAGTGCAGCCAAGTAGTGAAAATATAGGTGGGAATCAGATAGCTGCGAGAGTATAAGTGTAAATGCATATTTGTATATTATTTACAGTATACATATTATTTTTGACAAATTCCCTGTGGCTCAAATGTTGATAATTAAGGCTTTTTTTCATTTCAGGCACACTGTCCAATAACAGATCATGCACAGGCTTCACCCAGACAATGCATGCCTTATTTATTTTTAAAAGTATAGCTTAAAAGCGGTAAAGCAACAACACCTCCGCCACACTGACCCTCAACACGGTGGCCCCCCAGGGGTGTGTGCTTAGTCCCCTTCTGTACTCCCTGTTCACCCACGACTGTGTGGCCACGTACAACTCCAACACCAAAATCAAGTTTACTGACGACATGGCGGTGGTAGGCCTGATCACCTACAGCGATTAGACAGTCTTCAGGGAGGAGGTCAGTGACCTGGCAATGTACCTAAGGTACCTTTTTGTGGTACTTTTGGGTACCTGTTTGGGTTACTTTGGAGTACCTGTTTGGGGTTGTTTGGGTTACTTTGGGGTACCTGTTTGGGTTGTTTGGGGTACTTTGAGGCAGTGCTCGAGTCCGAGTCGAGTCACAAATCCCTATGGCTAAGTCCGAGTCGAGTCCAAGTCAGAGTCACCAATGGTCGAGTCACGAGTTGGTGTACTTTAGGGTACCTGTTTGGGGTTGTTTGGGGTGATTAGTAGGACCCATCGCCGGGTGCTTTTTGGTGATAATTGACTTCAACACATAGTCTAATTTAGTCATCTCAAATGCAGCCCTGCAGTCAACCCAGCAAATTGTGGCCTTAATAGCACCATGGCAGTGGTGTGGAAAACTAACAGGCCAAATAAAGTTTCCCCCGGCTCCCTCCTATAGGAAGAAAAAGGGGGCTACCTATGGAGAGCAGTCAGCCTGACAGGATGTAGATTACAGATGGGGAAATGAGCATGTTACACTCTCTACTTACACTTAATCAGTCACTCCTTAATGTCCTTACAGTGTTACATGTTAACCTCAAGCAGGAACCTATTCCCTCCATTTTCATGACCCTCATCTGATTACTCTTAAAGTGACCGTCAACAAGTCAGCACTTTGGAAATAATATACATAGTGATTGAATTGCACGTGTATTTTTAAACTGTAAATTAGATTGGGATGGGATGTCAATCTGCTGCTTCCCCTTTCATTGCTTGAAATGCACCCTCAAGGATCACAAAATAACTTTAACTTTTGAAACGCACATCTGGCTGGGGAAACCTTCTGATCTGAGGAGCCCTCTAACCTCTAGCCCAGTGCCAATCTCAAATGGCCCAGATATTTGGCATTCTGGCGTTCCACGCATGGCTTCCTAAAAGCAGCCCTGGCTCAAGGGGGACTGGAAGAATCTGAGACCTGGTAGAAATCAACCAGAATAGCCTAGGGGCCCCTAAGTGTGACAGGTGTCCTTCAGTGATTAACAGTTGCCGTGCCAGGAGCAACATTTAGCTGACAGCCCCCATACCTCACATAGTCCCTGGCCAAGGCGCAGACAGCCTGAGAGTGAGTGCATGCATTGCACCAAAACACCACTTTTCCCATTATTACATATTGAAACCAACTGACATGCCTGTGATTGTCATAAGCTAAACTGAGTCACTCTAGATATGTGTCTGCTAAATTACTAAAATGAGCTTGTCACATGTCTCATTAGTAAAAATCAGGAGCAGGCTACTGGTAATGGCAGTTCAATAAGAGGCGACTGCTACTACTGTATAAGTAATGGTATATAATGCATTTACAACACTTACAACACACAGCTGTGTCTGGCCAGAGTGTTAGCTAGTAGCTGTTAGGAGTGTTACCTAGGGATGTGACAATTGCTTTTGCAGTGCTGTTCCCTTGACACTGCAATGGAATGTCCATACTGAATCCTCTACTATCCAGATGAATCATACCAATAAACACTGAGCTTTACACCTGCTGCAGGCTTCAGAGTGAACAGATACAATGACAGCAGCATGAACTACATTATAATGTATGAACATTTATATATCTCTGACAATCGTTTCCTACAGCAGTCCATAGGATTAATTGATTGCTCACTTACCTGTTGGCGTCTGCATTTCCAGAGGAAACATAGAACAGGAAGAAGAGTGCACCGATCCAGCTGAGGGGCTGCATGTTTTTCACTGGGTACAGCTCACGTTCTCTCACTCTCTCTCTATCTCTCTCTGTGTTTCTCACAGAAGCTCTCACTCGCTCTGTTTCTTGCTCGGTTGTGCTCTGCTCCTCCCAAGGGCTTGCTCTTACTCCATGCACTCACACAGGGGTCCCAGCCCAGGAACAAGTCTCAATTGAGTCTTGTGTTTCCCCACCACACACACTCCCCTCTAGTAGGTAGACTTTGCTTTCTCTCTTTTTCTCTCTCACTCTTTTTCACTCTCCTGATAAAAGTGTATGTGATCTGTATCCTCCTCTTCCTTCTCTCCTCTCTCTCTCTCTCTCTCTCGCCCTCTCTCTCTGTCTCTCCTACTACCTTTCTTTCTCTCTGTCTCTCAGCTGAAATTCCAGAGGTAGGTTTTCATTACAATGAGTGACACTGGGGTGTGAGCATGGTAAGGAGTCTGGAGTGGTAGAGGGGACGGGAAAGGGACTGAAGGGGGTCGGGGCTGTACGTTGGAGGGTGCACCAGACATCTCCACTGGTAAACCCAATCCAGGGACATATGACTGATAATAGTTTTACTGCAATATTTCACCAGCAGGGACAGATATTTGATCACATTTGCGACTATACTTGAAGCATTAAATAAGATGTACAGTGTAGTATTAAATACCAGATATATGTACAGGAGGTCTGTGAACTTCACCTACATGCTTGCCCTGACCTGGTGTTAAAAACAGTGTTTATTTGTTGCTTCATGATGATACCACTCCTATCTTGCAATGTTCCACCGTACTTGGCTCTTTATGCCATGTCTTGCTCTGACATTGTCCTGGTTGGTAATTAGCTGGATCTCCTGTGTTAATTGCAGGGCCCAGTCGTGACCAGGCCTGTCATTAGGAGCTGCACTGTCCTTTGATGTCCTGCTCATGACCAGCACCCATGAAGCCCTGCTCTCACACATGCTTATACCAAATTCAAGTGAAGCTAATCTCAAGCCATAAAAGCCCTTAATGAGGTAGCAAACTTTCAAAGTGAACTCTAACATCTGGTCTAGATCTGGCTATGCCCCCAGTATACACAACAGACAATGGTGTTGTGGGAATGTTTGGGTGTCAGGTTTTCCTTTAAATTCAGAGAAACACGGCAATGTGTTATTACCGTTTCTTATTGGATGTCTAAGACCCAATGGCTTAAGTTTACAATGACTTTTGCCACATATTTGGGGTTTAGATTAAATACTGTATGTCTGAACTTAATAAGTTGCCTTTGATATTCCTCAGTGCTCTTTCAATCATTAAATAAAAACTACACACTCTTAGAAAAAAAGGTGCTATCTAGAACCTAAAAGGGTTATTCAGCTGTCCCCATAGGATAACCCTTTGGAGAACCCTTTTGGGTTCCAGGTAGAACCCTTTTCACAGAGGGTTCTACATGGAACCCAAAAGGGTTCTACCTGGAACCAAAAGGGTTATCCTATGGGGACAGCCAAATAACACTTTTGGAACCCTTTTTTCTAAGACTGCAGTATCACTATTACATCTGCACCCCCCTCCTGTTCTTTCCCCCTCAACTAATGATTTATGGAGAGTACCATTTTATGTTTGAAAGCTTTGTGCAGTATTGCCCATATTACGGAACCACACCTTCAAAAGAGTCTGTCTACCTCCAAGCTTTCAAACAATGATTTTGGAGGCACAACAGAAATTGCTTTCACATGAGGAGAAGAAAGCCTTTTCACAGTCAGGTAGTGTAGTTAAGCTGTAAAATACAACCCTGTGATTTATCTGCCATGGCAGGATATACTGTACTGTACTAACCACAACCAAAGCTGGGAGTGGGGGTAGGCAGGATTTGTGGGGAGCTCCCTTTAACTGCGGAAATCTGAGAAAGTGAAGGCCGGAAAAGTGGTTAATGTTTCCCGACTCATTCAGGAGTTCAGTAGCCAAAGGGGTAACAATAATAACATAGAATCAGATTATATGTTAAATGGACCTGATCATAACTGGGTCATTCCACCAATTAGGTGCCTTTTGAGTAGTGTAACTTGGTCCCCCAAAAAATTATGTCATAAAGAGCACGTTTAATTTCACAAAAAACATGTTTTCCCATCTCAAGAGGTTAAATACCAAAATTACTATATTAAGTGCCTAGTAGGTGCCAACCAGGGTTGACTGTAACAGGGTTGAGGATTTCATCTTAAATCAGCTTGTGACGGGGAAATCAAATCAAATCAAATCAAATTGTATTTGTCACATGCGCCGAATACAACAGGTGTAGACCTTACAGTGAAATGCTTACTTACCTTAACCAACAATGCAGTTTTAAGAAAAATAAGTGTTAAGTCAAAAATAGATAAGTAAAAATAAAAAAATAAGAAAAATAGAAAAATAAAACATTATTAAAGACAGCAGTAAAATAACAGTAGGGAGGCTATATACAGGGGGTATGGGTACAGGTTAGTCGAGGTATGGAAGTTTGTTGTGTGCAACAGGGAGGGGCAGAATGCAAGCTTCACCCCAAAAATGTAATTGTTAAAAAATATCTAGCCTGTCTATGGCTAACAGAGTTGACGTGTGAAGCCTGACCCACTCAGTTTTCCACCACAAAACCAGAAAATGCCCAAAAAAGAATAGAACTAGCTCAACTGCTTTTACAATATGATTTGACTATTAGATGTTCAATATACTTTTGTAAAAAATATTTTAAACGGAATAGTTTCACCAAATTAAAACGAGAGTTCAGTTCACGTAACAGTGCTGACCTTAAAATGAAGGAGAGACGTAAATGAATCACTAATCACATGAAATAAATACTCATCTTCAGAAGTGACTTTGTCAAATCAACAAAAACTAAAAATAACTACGGCTTTACAATGATGGTGAAAACTTGGAGACACTTTGGTGATGCACAGAGGGACATGTTAAAGTGCTGAATCTTGGCACTTTAGCAAGTCTTTATTCATATAAGTCTCCTGAGTGGCGCAGTGGTCTAAGGCACTGCATCGCAGTGCTAACTGTGCCACTAGAGATCCTGGTTCGAATCCAGGCTCTGTCGCAGCCGGCCGCGACCGGGAGACTCATGGGCGGCGCACAATTGGCCCAGCGTCGTCCAGGGTAGGGGAGGGAATGGCCGGCAGGGATGTAGCTCAGTTGATAGAGCATGGCGTTTGCAACGCCAGGGTTGTGGGTTTGATTCCCACGGGGGAATGTTAAAGTGTATAAAAAAAAATAAAAAAAATGTAAATGTAAAATATATAAAAAATCTGATTTATTGAATTAACCTGTGGTCTATATTAAAGGGTACTTGATATAACAGGCTTTTAAAATTCAAGGTTGGTGCACAATTTCTACTTAAAATATCAAAGGGATGCAAAAGGCACTCATTTCGTGAAAAGACCCAACTATTTGATCCACATTGGAGTTGAAAGTTAAAGGTCCATTGCAGTCATGGTTAACAATTAAGTACCTTACTGTGATTGTTTTAAACTTAAAATGGTTAAAAATAAACAAAAATAGTTTCTTGGCAAAGAGCAATTTCTCAAGCAATAATTTTGTGGGGATGGGAAAACGTGAAATCATGTGGTTTTGGAACACTTCACATGTGATGATATTTTACAGGAAGTGAAATTATGCCTGGCGAAAACCAAACACTGCATTCCACAGTAAGAACCTTATACCAACAGTCAAGCATGGTGGTGGTAGTGTGATGGTTTGGGGATGCCTTGCTGCCTCAGGACCTGGACGACTTGCCTTAATAGAAGGAACCATGAATTCTGCTCTGTAACAGAGAATTATACAAGAGAATGTCAGGCCATCTGTCTGTCAGCTGAAGCTGAAGCATAGCTGGGTCATGCAGCAAGACAGTGATCCAAAACAAACAATCAAGTCTACATGAAAATGGCTAAAAAGCTAAAAAATTGAAGTTTTGGAATGGCCTAGTCAAAGTCTAGACCTAATTCCAATTGAGATGTTGTGGCAGGACTTGAAACGAGCAGTTCATGCTTGAAAACCCACAAATATCTTTGAGTTAAAGCAGTTCTGCATGGAAGAGTGGGACAAAATTCCTCCACAGCTACGTGAGAGACTGATCAACAACTACAGGAAGTGTTTGGTTGGAATCATTGCAGCTAAATGTGGCACAACCAGTTATTGAGTGTAAGGGGGCAATTACCTTTTCACACGGGGCATTGGGTGTTGCATAACTTTGTCTAAGAAATAAGTATGTAATTGTTGAGTTATTTGTTCACTCAGGTTCCCATGATCTAATATTCGGTTTTGGTTGAAGATCTGATAGCATTCAGCATAAAAAATATGCACAAATAGAAAACATTTTAAAGGAGGCAAATACTTGTTCACAGCACTGTATAAAACACAGGAAAATCACATGCCTTTAAAGAGGCAGTCAAGTCTCCTTTTCACCTCATTTAACACCTGATTTACTTAACAAAAGGCACATCTCAATAGGTGGTCCAGGTGAGTCATGACATAGCACAATTGGGGGGTGGGCCTTTCCTCTTTTGCTCCTCTATTGTTCCTCAAGCAAGGGGGGAGGCCGATGACATCACGGATTCCCATCAGACCAACTGCTTGAATGCCCTACTCCTTGAAGTTTGCAGTTGTGTCTAAAAAACACTATTTTGCCCAAAACATGATTTTTTTACACTTTAATGTGTGAAAATCTTTAAATTGAAACTCTCAGTGAATACATGCTATATTGTGTGACATAGGCCTACAGTAACATGAATCAACATGACATATTTCTTCATGTAGCCCATAACCTTGACTTGACTTGAGCATAAATCTCAGTCTGAGTTAAAAGCAAATTAGGTTTATTCTGTCTCAGAGATAATCTGCAAAAGCAATCATGGGGCGGTCTACACTGCTAAATGGAGAGACATGGTTTACAAGTCTGCAGAAGGAAAATGAGACGAGACCAGATCTTTACTAGGAATAATAATCTAATCAGACGTCTGAAATGTTCAGTATGACTGCCTGTCCTCTGACTTTGAAGGGATAACCTTTCTATGGAGTCGTATACATGTATGGCATCTAAGAAGACATGGTTGTAGTACAGTAAGGAAAGAAACGGAAGTCAAATATAGGCCTACGGCAGACGCACAATACAGGGAGTATTCAGACCCCTTCCCTTTTCCCACATTTTGTTATGTTACAGCCTTATTCAAAAATTCAGTACCCCATAATTACAAAGCGAAAACTGGTTTTTAGAAATTTTTGCAAATGTACAAAATATAAAAAACAGAAGTACCTTATTTACATAAGTATTCAGACCTTTTGCTATGAGACTCAAAATTGAACTCAGGTGCATCCTGTTTCCATTGATCAT